GTGAACAGATGAATTCAAAGCCCACATTTTAAAATTTTGAATATATTTTGGTAAATAACAGATTTACTATTCAATATTGCTCCCTGTGAGTATGCACATCTCCAGCTATCATATCATTGCTGCACGTGTCCTAATCCCCATAGAGAATTAAGCGACAGAATTTACCTTCTGATGATCATGATGTTAATGAACATGCTATAATGGTTGCTTAGGTGATCGCAACGCAGCTCGTGCAGTGATCCTTCTCTGTTGAATTTTTGCTCTAGCTTGCCTCATGATAAAAGTTTATTAAGCTGCGAGTATTTTTGCAGTAGGAATAAAAATGTCTGAGAAATTTCATCGTTTCGTTAAGCGACCTTTTACTCGTTTTATGTTGAATAACGATTAGTAATGTTGCTCAGAAAAAAAACAGCGCTGTTAAAAAATTCGAAAATAAAAAACCTGGTCTAACAAAAAAGCTTTAAAAAGAATTTTTAGCCTTCACTTTCAAAGTGAATTTTGATAGTCTTAATAATATTTTCACATTTATCAAGGATTACTCTGTATACAGCCTTCTAAAATATTTATATATTTATCTTTTTTGCAACATGGTGGGCGATATATTCAAATCTGTCATTCCGTATTGAATGATCAATAAAAAATGTTTTTTTTTCTTATAATTCTCGAAGTTGAAACACATTTTGAGATGGTAAAGATCGCTGAGATACATGGAGCAGCATCTAAGCTGAAGAGATGATAAATTTTGTTACATATGCTGTGCCAAATAAAGCTCACATTTCGGAGGAGTGCTATTGAAATGACGCAAATCTTACTAAATAATGCATTGATATCATCACGAAAGAAATATATACCAAAAATTTCTTTCTTTTATATTATTAAAAACCACATTTAGCATATCTCCCATGAGACTTAAATATATTTAATTAGAAATACAAGTTTTTCAGAGTATGAAAGATATCTTTTTTTTATAATGCCCTTACTATTTGTAGCTAAGATCGCTAGAGAATGATATATTTAAAACTAACCGAATTACATTCTAAAGCAGGAACTACTGTATAGATATTTGTTACGGTTTCGATACAACACCCGCCAATCCATTTATTGATGCATTTTTTATTGCTGATACTTTTTTTATTGCTCCTTCCCTATCTACAATCTACTATCCTTGCAGCCACAGCTGCTATCTCAGTCAAATCCACAACCCCTGCTGTACACCTCTCGCCGGTAATCTCATACCCTAGGCAATTGCTCTCTCCTTCATGTAGAATAAACTCCACCTTAACACATCGTTCTCTCTCATACGCCTCACATTCCCTTATCAGGTGCTCCACAGTTCCATTCACTCTCAATCACGCAGGAATCTTCATCCTCTCTCCGCTTATTGTGTGTATACGTTCATTCTCACCAGCACCCCAGACAGACCTGCAGGTCCCCACCTCTGCTACCACCATACCTGCATTCATACTCTGACATTGCTCCACACTGCAGGTGTCAAGCAATATAGGAAGGTTTTGCTGTAATAAATATGACGCAATATACCGCGGACGCCGTCGCGGGTCAGACCGAAATTCCGGCTCTACCTCCGGCAGCGTTGAATAACAGACAGCCTTGCTGTTCTCAACTGAGCTGAAGAATGTGATCCAAACCCTTGAATTTACGGCTCTGACGCCGTAAAGGTGAATATGAGTCAACAGGTATAGCAAGTTGTTCCTAAGCCTTGTAGGTTACGGCTCTCACGCCGGCCTAGTCTCTCCCAAAAGACGCTACAATGATTGGACAACCAGCATTGTCGCAGACTCAATGCAGGCGTGACAACAAAGTTAGCAGTGTCATACTCTGTGAAACTGTTATTAAAACTCGAACTGATAAGCATTCATTATTATTTTATAATTTAGGCTAAGTTATGAGTTTGACCATGCAGTATGATGTAGGTACTACTTTGGTACCTCGCGAGCTTACAGACCGCTTTCTCTTAACCGTACTAAAGTACGGAACTTGACGCGCCTTTTGTACCGTATACTGCTCACTGCTCAGCACAGTCTGCTGACATCTGCCGAAATGTTGCGTCCGGCCACACTAATAGCCGAGTGTGCGATACGTGTGCCTAAAGTTCAGCTCAAAACGCTCACGGGCCACAAGGCTGCATGTGAGTGAAAGCTTCGTGAGAATCAAGAGTGGCTGTCATAACTCTTGCTGCAACTTGCGTTGCATCGCGTCCAAATTTGTCCAAACACAAGCCTCCCAGGCCTGGAATGTCTTCGCAGCAAGAACCGTACATAAACGATTTTCTATTCTCTACCAGAATTATCGCATATAAATCCGTCAAAGTTAACATTTTCCACAAGATGAATCATTCAAGAGTAAGTAAAATACTCGATGTACTTGTGCATCCTCATGATCTCAAATACAGATATTCTCGACATCGTGAGTGACTTGAACAACAGTAATTCTGTGCTAGTGCAGTTAAGAATAATTGTCATGTGACAGCGTGAGTTACAAAGCCAGGCAATAATAGCCAGCGCCGGCGCCGTAAACACCAGCCATCAAGTGCACCGTAAACACCAGCCATCAAGTGCACCGTAAACACCAGCCATCAAGTGCACCGTAAACACCAGTCATCAAGTGCACCGTAAACACCAGTCATCAAGTGCACCGTAAACACCAGTCATCAAATGCACCGTAAACACCAGTCATCAAGTGCACCGTAAACACCAGCCATCAAGTGCACCGTAAACACCAGCCATCAAGTGCGCCGTAAACACCAGCCATCAAGTGCACCGTAAACACCAGCCATCAAGTGCGCCGTAAACACCAGCCATCAAGTGCGCCGTAAACACCAGCCATCAAGTGCACCGTAAACACCAGTCATCAAGTGCACCGTAAACACCAGTCATCAAATGCACCGTAAACACCAGTCATCAAGTGCGTCGTAAACACCAGTCATCAAGTGCACCGTAAACCCTACTAACGCCATCGTGTGTAGCGGACGCTCGCAGCGAAAGCCCAGGCTTGTTGATTTTTTCAGTTCTCGTGAGGTTTGTAGCGCGCATGGCGAGCCGCTTCTCTCGGGTGTGGATAATGCCTAATTTTGCGCTGATTTTCATACTTTCCTTTAGAGTTTCTAATGAAGTATCCAGAGCTGCCGCTGGTCTACAAGCTGGATTTTACATTGTATTTTTTGTTCAGTGTTTTTAAATTACGTGAGCTCTCTATGGCTTGTTTTAAAGTTACTACCTACGTAGCTCACACCGTAGGAAGATGGCATATAGTGATAAGTCCGATTCAAGTTTTGACCAGCTGTTTTGACCAAATTTCTTAGAATCTCTGCTGAATTATATTGTACTTTACATTATATAGTAATTCATTTCAATGAACTCTATAATCAAAAATAATTTAGCATACCATACTAATTCATCGTTATTTTTTTTTCAGAAAGTATTTTATTGGTCTATTTAATCACCTGTAGCGTTATTTTTAAACATGCATCTAAAACATTCTTGGCATTCTTAGGTTACTAAATAAGTTCTCGCTCCTCTCAGTTTCAGCTTTGTAACACCGTCTTGATATTCGCAATTAAAAGGCTGTTGAAATGCCGGCCTGCTGGTATACTGTTACGTCACGTTCCTCTTGTGACATTATTGCGCTAGAGAATCAATAGTTCAGTACGACTTGTACAGCAACAACAAAATGACTAACAGCGTTTGCATGATCGGACTTGTCTCTCTGCAGGCTGGTTGCATGAAAAGGCCAATAAAATTATTTTTGTTCTGCGGTGCGTCTAGACGACAATTTTTTTCTTCAATGACTATTACTTATTTTTTAATGAAAACAATCGTTTTGCTAGCTTTTAGCTTTTTCTGTGTAAAATAGTTAACAAGGAGAGGAAATTCGAAAAAATTGATGATCTACGAAATAAATCTTAAATATTTTATTATATAGGCACTCACCATGTACGTAATAAATGCGAATAATTGATTTAAACATTTCATGCTACATTGAAAATCGAAGATATCGAACTCTGGAAGTATCAACGCGATGAAGTACCGAGGCTTCGCTGTCGTCTATTCAGAGTACTTCATGACGCTATAACACCAAATTACAAAATTGAGATTATCAAGACAAATCAGTCCTTGATGGATATAGTATCCGTTCTCTTTAGGTCAGAAAGCTGTGGCAAACTGACGCGCAGCGCGACAGACTCCGCGTGTTTTGTTTATAGATGCTGACACGCGTAGCACAGAACGCCTCTACGACGACGATCAAATCTAGTGTGCTTCATAATAGGAGGAATGTCTTGTCTGGTTCTTAATTGCAGGAGCTAAACTAGAGCATCAGCTTACATACATTGCTCTACTTCATAGGGTCTCGTGCTAATGTGGAACAGCTTAAACTATAGACGCGAAAGTTTATGTCGCATTTCAATGACGATGAAATAATTCGAACCGTAACTACTTAGTAGAATTTTTTTCAAAGGTTTTTATTGCTCTAGACTTACGGAATAACATTCTGAAAAGTTCTCCTTAATAAAATGGATTAAATTTATATTGTGTAAATACCCTTCAACAAAACGCTTCGATTTTGGATTTTGTTCGCTATGGATTTCCAGCGTTAAACGATGTCAGTGTCATGCATTTCTATTTACATTGAAGAATGAATAACTTCACAAAGTTATAAATCTCTTATTTGTATATACTTTTGTCTTCGTAAGTATTATATATTTATATTTACCTCTGAATGAACGTTTTGTACAGCACAGTGGAATGAACCGAGTACGTAGACTAATTACCTGTTGTTAGCGCATTTTCTCATTTATGGAAAAATGCACTATTGTGCTCGCCATGTCCGTCTGTCTGTCTGTCTGTCTGTCTGTCCATCTGTCCGTCTGTCTGTCTGTCCATCTGTCCGTCCGTCCGTGACCTCAAGTTTTCGTCAACGAGAAAATGCGCTGTCTGTCACTCACTGCAGTGAGTACCGAGTTACATTTTTTGAATTGTGTGCAGTGGGCGCAGGCTCTGCGGGTGCGGTGGTGGCCAACAGACTCTCGGAGGTGCCACAGAGTAAAGTGCTGCTGCTAGAGGCCGGGCTCGACGAGACCGAGATCAGCGACGTGCCTGCGCTGGCTGCGTATCTTCAGCTCTCAAAAATGGACTGGAAGTACAAAACTGAACCGCAAGACTCCGCGTGCCTAGCTATGGCGGGCCGGGTCAGTTGAAGGTTTTCCTTGTTATATATTTGAGATTCTCAAAAGGCTTCATGCCTTCCAGGTTAATTGTCATGCCAACGTTTAAGCTCTTGCAATATTTTTAATTGACATTTTTGATGATTTGAAACATTTAGTCATCCACTTTATGCAATACTCCCCGATACAAATTATTCAGATATGTTAAACCTTAATTATGGAGTAAATTATGCAGCTATCAATACTAAATGGAAACTGCAACGATGCCGACGACATATTTCCTTGTTCTGCATTGTATATGGAGACCATGTTGAACGAATTAGCTGTTGTGATGATGCAGCTCTGCAACTGACGTGATCACGTGGAATTGTTTTATCATGGCAGCGCTGCAACTGACGTGATCACGTGGAATTGTTTTATCATGGCAGCGCTGCAACTGACGTGATCACGTGGAATTGTTTTATCATGGCAGCGCTGCAAGTGACGTGATCACGTGGAATTGTTTTATTATGGCAGCGCTGCAACTGGCCGCGTGGCAAGGTGTTGGGGGGATCATCAGTCCTCAATTATATGCTGTACGTGCGCGGCAACCGACGGGACTACGATGAGTGGGAGCGACAGGGCAACCCGGGCTGGGACTTCGACTCCATCCTTCACTACTTCAAGAAGTCCGAGGACAATCGCAATCCTTACATCGCTCAGAACAGTTAATGTCTTGCTTTTAATTATTTCAAATGATTGCTCAGTGATCTTCCTTAATTATTTTGTTCACCTCTAAATATCCAGATGTTCTGATGACTATTTTAATGAAAATTTCACCCAATAGAAGAGATAGCTTGTAGAGACTTACGAACCTTACGTTTGCAGCGCATTACCACGGCACGGGAGGCTACCTCACCATCCAAGAGTCCCCCTGGCGGACGCCGCTCGCGAATGCGTTCGTGGAGGCGGGCGTTGAGATGGGCTACAGCAACCGGGACTACAACTCCGCTTACCAGACCGGTCAGACGCTGTGCTCAATGCTTGCATATGCTAGCGCCCTTTAATTGCAACACCAATACCTGCATAAACATTCATGTTGCCCTTAAATGCCATAACCAATACCTGCATAAACGCTCATGTTGCTCTCAAATGTCAACACCAATACCTGCATAAACGCGCATGTTGCCCTCAAATGTCAACACCAATACCTGCATAAACGCTCATGTTGCCCTCAAATGTCAACACCAATACCTGCATAAACGCTCATGTTGCCCTCAAATGTCATCATCAATACCTGCATAAACGCTCATGTTGCCCTCAAATGTCAACTGCATTACCTACATAAACGTGCTTTTTACTGAAGCGGATTAAAATCTTTGTCTGACGTGATTGTATTAATTGATCTTTAAATTTCAACACTCGATTTAACTCAGGTTTAAACTTTGTTTCTCCGGTTCAGTTTCTTATTATTTGAAAAGCAATTTTACATCCATTGGATTTAACTAAATTTACGGAAGCCCAAATTTATTTTTCAACTATGGAAAACGTTCATTATCGACCAATTTGAGTACGTATAAATGTATAAACTGTCTCATTAATATATTCTCGCTATTTGGACCCCGGTTTTGATATCAATTGCAGATTAGAGACGATCAGCCTTGGGGGCTGATTAAAACTTTAAGACCAATTTTTATGTGACTACTCTTCCTATTTTTGTACTATCCTTCTCTGCTGTTGAAATCTCGTCTTATTTCTCTCATCGGTAATGATTTATTAATATATAATTAATATATAATGTAAATTAATATAAATAATGATTTATTAATTATATTTTGACCCAAGTGGGGGACACAATGTCTTCAATTCTGTTCTCGAGAACTTAAATTTTATGAATTATAATAATTTTACATAATTAACTACTTATGCTGTACAAGTTCCAATAATTGAAGTATATTTCAAATGGCCGTTGCTGTTCGCCAGGGTTCATGATCCCTCAAGGCACCATCCGCCGAGGCTCGCGCTGTTCCACGTCTAAGGCCTTCCTCAGGCCCGCCAGGGGGAGGAAAAATCTCCACATCGCCACCAACGCCTTCGTCACCAAGGTGACTATTGCCAACTTGGCTAGTACTCTAGTAGACGAAGAAGATTAATGGCAAAAAAATTATTTGTCGTTGAACAAGAGATATGACAATTTTCAATAAGTTCAAGCAGCTTCAACGAGTCCTGCTTGAGCCTCATTAATTCAGATTCTTAGGGATGTACAGTGGGGGAAATAAATATTCGTACACTTGAAAAATCGTATTTTAATGTATGTAAGTACACAAACGCATGAGGCGCATTGTATTCAAAAATAGCATCAATAGAAATTAAATCTCAATGCAACAAAAATTAATGCAACATGTTAACTTCTTCGGGTCAAAAAAGTATTCGTACAAAACAATCTTTTTTCACCCGAAAAGTGAACATGTTGCATTGTTTTTTTGTTGCATTGAGATTTAATTTCTTTTGATAGTATTTTCGAATACTATGCGTCTCTATACATAATTTAAATCACTTTTCCTGTTAAGTTTGTGTACTTACATACATTAAAATACGATTTTTCAAGTGTACGAATATTTATTTCCCACCACTGTAAGTGTTATCGAGATTCTGAGAATGGAGTCTTCATACCGAGACCCGATTCTCCGAGGACAAAACTGTAGCCAAGGTGCCTTTAGTTTCGCTGTAGTGCTTCTTGGTCCTGTTATATCTACCAACTCACTCCAAAAATTTTAATTTGCTGTTTCATTTTGCATAGCTTTAAATAGTTATAATTACTTGTGGTTTCCAGATCCTGATCGACCCTGGCACCAAACGGGCGTACGGAGTGAAGCTCATCAGGAACCGTCGGGTGGTCGTGGTCACGGCAAGGAAGGAAGTCATTCTGAGCGCCGGCTCCGTCAACAGCGCCCAGCTTCTCATGCTGTCGGGCGTCGGCCCCCGCCAGCATCTCCAGCATCATCGGGTATATACTGGTGCATTCTGGTGTGTACTGGTGCATTCTGGTGCAGACTGGTACATACTGGTGCATACTAGTGCATTCTGGTGCAGACTGTACATACTGGTGCATTTTGGTGCATACTGGTGCATTCTGATGCATCATCAGGTTGTCAGATGCTCACATCATCAGGTTGCCCTTCCACAATTAATGTATCTATTAGAGTAAATTGTTGAAGCATAAAAGCGCAACACGCAGTGAATTGTGTTGCTTAGGACGATGTCAAGCAGCAAAAGTCTTTGCCATCGCCATCTTTATTACCTCTCATTATCCAGTGAGCGAGATCATTAAGATCTGCATGAGGACGGATCACACAAATGTAAATGTGACTTGTTGCTTCCAGATCCCCGTAATTCAGGACCTGCAGGTGGGCTACAACTTGCAGGACCACATCGGCACAGGCGGCCTCGTCTTCACCATCAACGAGGAACTCTCGCTCGTGCAGAACAGATACGAAAATCTACCTTCGGTCCTTAGATACGCCATGTTTGGCGCCGGTGAGATGAGGGCACTAACAAGCAGTGGACTCACAGTACACGTGTAGAGAATTATCGGGTTTTTCCAAAAAAAATCTGTCGGGTTTTTCCAAAAAAACTCGATGACGCGCTATGTACACTTAGAGCGAAATGTTCTAGGCTGCTCGAGGAGGTGTAAATACATGGTCTGGTTTGACTGGAAACCCTGGTAGTGTGACGGAAACGATACATCAACATTTACAGGATTTTCTTAGAAATAATAAACTGAAATGAGTCGCTTACGGCGAGGAGTATTTAATACGTTTAACTTGTTCATCACGAAGAAGTTGGAAATAAATTATCGATTAAGTAAAAAACTAAATCATGTATTTGTCTCTAGGTCCATTGACAGTATTGGGTGGTGTTGAAGGAGTCGGGTTCGTAAACACCAAGTACATGAACTCGTCCTCTGACTGGCCGGACATAGAATTTCACTTCGTTTCTGGCAGTCCAGCTTCAGACGGCGGCAGACATATACGCAAAGCGCATGGTCTCAACCAGAAGGTGACTATCTTAAATAAAACAAATAGAAAAAACTTTTAAAAACCACGTTTTCTTAACGGAAAAAAAAGAAAAACATTTACTCCTACATAACATTACATAACATTTTACGTAACTTAAATGTTATGTAAGAGTAAATGTTTTTCTTTTTTGTCCGTTAAGAAAACGTGTTTTTTTAAGTTTTTTTATTTGTTTAATTTCATTATTTTTAGTTTTGTAAAAACCAGAAAAACGTGGGTTTTAAAAATATTTTTTAGATTTATTTATTTAGGCACGAAACGACGATTGTTCTTTGCCCGATGGACCTCATATTGATAATGAAGTTGTCTGCTGTCTCGAGACGTCATATATAGGGGTTTGTTCAATTTCGTATCCACAATACCGGACTACATAACGTCTGGTCTCAAAATTCGTCTTCCTCATCGATTTTCTTACAAATTTCGATTGAACTTGTTATCTTTAACAAAAATGGCTGTTCTCGAGGCAGGCTATGCTATACCAGTCATAGAATACTCTTCTATGTCTGGCGAAGATATGTCGGACTGGCAATACGCCCATCCAGTCTACGCCACTATCTATCCCAGCTACTGCCGTGCGTAACAGGAACTCACTAGATCTATAGTGAGGCCAAGGCTGAGCCGATGCAATGCGCCGCTCCCCAAGAGGGGGAAGAGATTCACCGCATTCTTGCGGAATCTCTTCTAATGCTGTTGCAGGCCACGCTGCGGGAGCGACGGTGGCCGGTGAATGGTAGCACCCAATTCTTGAGGAGTTGGGGCGCTGCCTTCACCTGGCTACTGATTTGCTCTTGGGGGAAGGGAGTTAGGGGGGGGTCCTTCGGGACCCAAAAAATAAAACATCCTACCTGATGGAGAGCTGGCTCGGAACACTTTCCGCGCCTCACCTCTAGTCTTTTTGAAAGCTCCAGTGCTAGCTTTCCTGCCACTTTTGGAGTTGCATAATTCTCGCTAGATGATTTATTGTTGACAGAAAACACAATCAAGCTGTGAGTTTCAAAAAAAAGTTCAAGTTGTCTTGGAATTGAGACATTAATTACAGTAACTAGCAGGAATTTTTCGATATTGGCTGGGGCAAGATCTGCCCCGAGACGCGGCCTGTCTGATGGATAGCTAGAGGTCAGCATAGCCCAAGTCCACAGTGCGATTCATATACCTTCCCGTGCGTAACGCAGCCGGGCATCTTCACGGCTTTTGACACAAAGCGCCCACCACAACAGCGCCGTTCAGCCACAGGCCTGGTTCAACAGCGCCGTAGCACAACTGGCCGGGGCGCAAAAGGCCCTACCGCAACAGCTACTCCTAAGGGTACGCACACAGTGGAAGCAGGTTGCCAGCGTACTGGTTACCTGCTCAGGCTGGCGCCTGAAACCATAGAATACAGAAGCCTATTCGTACAGGTTTTCACTGTGAACACTTACATTATTATCCTATGTTCATTCTTGTGGCAGGTTGGAGCAGGTTGCCCGCGCCGGCAAACCTGCTTTCACTGTGTGCGTACCCTAACGTAACCTAACCTAACCTGCGCCGCCTGTTGCGGTAGGGCCTGTTGCGCTGCGGCGCTGTGGAGCAGTGGCTGTGTTGTGCAAAGCGGATTTACTGTTAGCAGGAGTTACCCACAGCTCATTGGTCTGAGGTTATGTGTGGATATTGCATGCTGATGGTTGGCATTAGGCCCAGGGCCTGTTTACGAGTCAATTTTGTTACCCACGACTGCGCTCCCTGGATGTTCGAGAAAAAACTCAATTCCAAACCGTGAATTTTTCGCGTTTTTTATTTTTTTTCCTAAATTTTTTTTTTTCAAATTATTATTTCTGATGATCAAATCTTGAATTGTTAGGCAGCATAAGCATGCATGCCAAATTTAAAGTTTCTAGGATGTTCAGAAGAGCTCTAAATTAAGGTCTGAATTTTTGATGACGGACAGACACGAAACGAAGTCAAGAAAAACGTGGTAATAAAAATAGGATTATCAACTTATGTGCATAGCGGTGTAGAAATTGTTTTATACTAATTTTGAATGTAACACGATGACATAGCGTCGTACGTGACAGCGCTCTAGGCGCCTCCTCGAGCGCTGTTGAGGCTCGCAGCACGCGTTCTATATGATCACGCCGTATTTACTTCGAAGCTCATTTTCATTCGAGGTTCAACAAGTGAAGATGAGATTTCTAAATTTCGTTGTTGGTTTTAAGCTTGAAGCTCATTTGCATTGCGATTTGAATTCAAGGAGAAATGCGTTCCGTAAATCGGTAATTAGTTCGCTCCTCGGCTCTATTGTTACTCCAATAGTCGCTCTCATACTAATTCAATATTGATTTACAATAAATTTGACAATTAAGATCTAGTATTTAACTTGGTTCACATTTGATTATTGCATGTATAAACTCGAAATAATAGTATAATCATATTACTAATGATAATGGTTGGTCCCGCACTCCAGACCTGGAACAAGATGTTCAAACCCATCGCTTACAAAGACACCTGGTCCATATACCCGATGCTGCTGCGGCCGCGCTCCCGGGGCTACGTGTCGCTACGCTCCTCCTCCCCCTTCCACCATCCTGTCATCACCCATAACTACCTTACTCACCCTCTGGATGTGGCCACCATGGTTGAAGGTGACAGGTTCTCACAAATTTCATTGTAGAGAGCATTTCTCGAAGGCAGACCTGTTTTTATCCGAAGTCGAAAGCCCATCATTGCTGCGGATTTGAACAGCGAATAATTCAATCGTTTGGCTCTTCTGTGTATGTTTGGTTACTGTCCCTGAATATCACTGCAATGCTGTGAAACAACTGTGCAAGCAGGCATCTTGGTTGGGACGGTAATCGCTAGAGCTTGTAAATGTATCCCTTAACTTGAACTCGCATATTGTTGACATTCGTCTTTTGCTAACTAAATGCGTATGCATAGCTACAAAGAGCTTTTCTGACTCATCAGGAATCAAAATAGGAATAGCGTTGTCACAAACGAAGGCGATGCAACGGTACAAGTCGCGCTTCTATGACGTGGCGATCCCTGGGTGCGAGCACGTCTTGATGTGGACAGACGCGTACTGGGAGTGTCTGGCCCGCCACTACACCGCCACCATCTACCATCCCGCCGGCACTGCCAAGATGGGACCTTACTGGGACCCTGATGCTGTCGTCGACCCTGAGCTCAAGTGAGGCGGTCGTCCATATTGACTGCCTGTTGTTCTGGGGTGTAATGCTGTATTGACTGCCTGTTGTTCTGGGGTGTAATGCTGTATTGACTGCCTGTTGTTCTGGGGTGTAATGCTGTATTGACTACCTGTTGTTCTGGAGTGTATTGCTGTATGCTGTATGTGACGTCGTTTAAGTGGGTCGTCGTGTTTATATGGCAGTATATTTGTCTTCAACGTGTGTCATGTGCTGTTACTAAACATAGGTTCAAATATTATAGATATTTTTTTCTAAGAATTAAAATACTGCTCTGAATTTGGCTTGTAAATGTTCATGCTCGATTTCGTTTTTGAAGTAACATTCTATACAGTTCATACTGCAGTGTTGAAAGTCTAGACTTGAGAGAACAACGTAAATAAGCTAAGCCTTTAGGGGAGCATCAAGTGTCTCTAAACAAAGCTGAGCCACCTCGTGTTGCAGAGTGTACGGCATATCTGGGTTACGCGTGGTGGACGCATCAATCATGCCGACGCTGGTGTCCGGTAACACCAACGCTCCCGTCATCATGATCGCTGAGAAGGCTTCTGACATGATCAAGCAATACTGGTACTCACAGTACTACGCTGCACGTCGTAACGATACCTCGTCTCCATATTTATCTTAGCCTCAGATCAATTAGGATGTTATAATTTATGTACAGGTTAGATTTAAATGCGTCTATTTCGCTTTGCTCATCACTGCCTGGCAGAAATGAAGATATTCTGATCCCTGAACAGTCAGAGGACTGCTTCTTGGGACAATTTTTCGCAAATTTTTAATCACTTAATAATCTAATATTCTGCTGATTTTAGGTGCCTAAGATCGCGATGTGAATAAAGATTACCTCGAACAGAGCAAGTGGATATTTTAGAAATTGACCGCTAAAAACTCTGCTATCAATCATTTCAGTCAAAGCTTTTCTTTCAGCAAATTTCTAACTTGAAATAAATAGCAATTTATTTTGCTTTGAATAGAGCTCTTAAAAGGCGTATTTTTTTGTTCAAATATTACCTTTATTAGCTTTTGTATGTGAGCGATAGGCGTTAGATTTATTATTAGTGTGTGCAATGCTTTTTTTGTATTAAAGAAGCTAAGTTTGCATGCCTGTTCTAGTCAGAAATGTAAGCTGTGTTTCAAGTCAGTCGTGCAGTTGAAACAGAAGCTTTCTTCAATTCTTGTTTCTCACCGAGCCTCCTTTAATATGTTGCCATTTGTTTGCATGTCCATCGATTTCGCCTTTGATTTAGACATTGAATTATAAATATTGTTGAAAACATTTTGCCGTTTATGAATTTGAATTGCTCATATTCTCCGCTTTTACATATTTCTATTTATTTTATCATTTATGCACGATTCATCACTTTGAAAGCATAATGAAATAGCATTCGAAATCATAGTAAAATCATCTTTTATTTTGTGTCTTTAAATGAAGTACCGACATACGTTTGTTGTGCCGTCGATATCAGTTATGAAATACATGTGTAAGGTTTCGGCGATAAATTGCCTAAAGAACTAAATTTTTCATCCTAGGATTCTTTGAAAATGTTTCGATTTTTGCGCTTCAATTAGGAAAATTTTGACTTCAGAAGTTCTATTATTATTGATTCATAACATTCTGATGTTTCATTTCGATTTCAGCTTGAGTTTCCTCAATCGACGATTTTTTTGTGTGCCATAAGTAGATGGATCTTTTTTTGTATCAATTCTAACATGCGCATCAATTTGGATATTTACTTCTATGAATCCAATGATGTAGTGTAGTGGTTTCCATCGTTAATGATCTTAACCATCTGCTTAAATTTCTAACTTATGGTGCTCTGCGTCCAACATTGTGTTTGTTGCTAGGTACTGGCAGTGTGTGACTATTCGATTAAAAATTGAAAATTTTATAAGAAACGCTTATTTATTTTCCCACAAAGTATTAGTAGTTAGCATATAGAGAAAACTTAATATGTAAAATGACTATGCTTGCATATCATATGCAAAAATATGTCGTTTTTCGCTGATGAGTTTTAGAGATTACGGAAAGTTATGAAATTAGTTCAATTTTACGAATAACCCGATTGCAAAAACCTTTGACTATAACTTGTGATGAAACTAAAGAGTAGTTTTTTACGAAGAGATAAATTTTTATATTATACTGAAGAGTTTTTACACGTGCTGATTACATAGAACAGTGAGAGAAATCTGCTAAATGTATCTGTTCCTAACATGTTTCTTAAGAAAATTTTTGCAAAATATTTACCTACTTTCTTCAAAAAGTTAGATCTTATTTTTTAAAGTTCGTGTCTGCACATACTGACTTTGACTTCAGATTTTTCATCAGTATTCAAAATGCTGATGAAAGTATTGCAAATTATAGCAAAATTTAAGGAAATGGTATTTAATCTATGGGGAAATTCATTTTTAACCTGAATTTATAATTTTTTTGTTGTCTGTAATAAAATTATTATTCTCTTTTCTACAAATCGTAGGAATCGAATGATTTTGAGCACGGCACTGGTGGTCAGCTGACTGGATTGAAATAGGTGCAAGGAGAGAGGAGATCATCGATCTCCCAGAGTTCGTTTACTTGTGTCGCACTTGCAATTGTAGCCATGTATTTACGCAATTTGATTTTTTTGTGCACTCTTCTTGCGCCAAGTAAGTGTTAAGGATTTATTTTTTGACAACGACACACAAATATTGCTTGACTAAGTATTTCTAGGCTATATTGGCAAATGATAGCCTAATTAACAAATAGACTTGGTGGACGACTGGACGCTTCCTTATCGTTATCGAGTCCTGTTAAAAAGTAGCTAGGTAGCCCAAGAACAAGAAGTATCATGGATACAAGCATTAACATGTATAAGATATAAAGTAAATCATGATGTAGACCTGTAAATAAAATATGAAAATATGTTTCTTTCAATATATATTGATTCTTGATTGCTACTTGCTAGATTTCTACTAGTATTCCGGGGCATGCCCCAGTCCCAGTCTCCCAGAGGCATTAGTAGCAATGCAGAGTTTTTTTTAGACTCTTTCAATAACTTCAATTGGTGAGTCCTATATGTATAAGTAGACCAGTAAAGTATCATAGATTATTGGATACCACTAACATACCAGCATAACATTATCAATTCATCATACATAAGATATTGTGTAAATTTTTTATTGGAAGAAAAGAGGAAATTAAAAATGAACTAATTCTGAAAAATCTCTGGTTTGCCACTATTACTATGCCCAGCAGCCAAGACACAGACAGCCCAGAGGCATAGTGGCAAACTCACAGCCGACTGAGCTGAGACTTCTTTAGTTCATTTTTGAGTTGTACAGTATAGGTAGACCAGTGAGTGTGAGTGAAGTATGGTCAAAATTATAGGGTTAAAAGTAATGTAAATGCACCATATTCTGACATCGTGGGTAGGTAATTCCAATACTTCTCAATTTTTGCTTTTATATTAAGCTATGTCTTAGTTCCACGCATGCGTAGATGGTTGAAATAGTGACGTCTGACGTCATATTATTGTGCACCAGATTTCTGCAAAACACTAGGTCTGGCGGGAAAATGTTGAGATCCTCAGGGCAAAAATCCACGTCACCCAGTGAGAACATCAAAAAACATGTCAAAGTTGATGAATGTCAAAACCTTGCTGTACCAAATAGTGATAAACTGTTTGTGTAGAAAGAATATTATGATTTGAGACTTTTAAATAAGTCTGTGAATATATTGGGAATCGTTTAAGTATACTTGTATTTGCTGATTTTAAGTAGTAAATAAATTAATAGATTATTAAGTTAAGAGACAGTTTTAGACACATAAAAACTAATTCCGATACAGCTTGTAATTAGACACGCACAGCTTGTTCCAAGCTGTGTCCTATTTCGATACAGCTCAGACAGGACGTCAGAATTCCAACACAGGGCTTCAGAATTACGAATTACGGTTTTGAAGCCTTGTCAGAATTAGTCTCACAATATGCCAAATTTAGTCACACACAGCATCAGAATTCAGAGATTTTGTAGATTTGAATTCTAAAAGCTTTTAAATAAATATGGCAACAGTGAACAGTCTGTGATGTTTCATCATTGCTGGCGCGTAGTGTGGTGTTTTGAGAGTGATGTAAAGCAATCAGAACTTGAGTTGTGCATACAGTGATCTTTTTATAGCCATTAATTTCTTGCCATGTCCTTAAAGTGTCAGAATATGGTGTGTTTACCCTACTTATAGCCTTATAGGACAGTTAGGATTCATAAATGAACTTGAGGAAGGGCAGCAAAAACTTTTCTCCTTTGCCACCAGGGTGCAAGCAAATAAGAAAATGCTGCTAACAACTTTGACAGTATATCCCTTACTCTTTATGCACTGCATCATTGCAACTGATTTCCAGAAAAGCTTCACTGCATCTTGATCCATCCAATGTATCGGAAACCTTACTGTGCTTGTGGTCTTCCAGATTTGCGATAATTTCAAGTTTCCATAATGCAATAATTTTAACTCAAATGTGTCGGCAAGATCTTCTGAAGGCGTAAATTTTGCTGGTGATGCATCGCCAATAATCTTTTGATATTCACCTACTTTCTGCACCTTGGCTTTGAAATATGATGATTGGATTAGTTGTCTATATAGTGACAAAGCAGCAGCTTTTGTAGACTTTTCCTCCAGTCCTAGTAGTAGCCTAGTTGAGTCCCATCAGCTTACATTTCCATGTAAGCCGTGTTGCTACACTGCCTGGCCGCCATATTTGTTGGCAACAAATATGGCGGCCGCGCAGTGTAGCAACACAGCTTACATGTAAATATGGAAGCTCTGAAAGCTTGATTGATCTGAGCTTCATTTGTAAAAACTCTACATTTATTGTGCAAATGGTAAATGGAGTTGGAATATTACAATTTTTGGTCTATGCCCTCTGCCTAAATAGTTGAACAAATCTGGACCATGAGACTAGCAAAAATTCAAAATTATTTTTTAATTGGCAGTGGCACTCTAATGAGCATAGTGGCTAATCAGAGTGTTGAGATAATCTTTAGATTCAGTTCATTTTTTTATTTGCTCCTCTACGGTACTCAAGATTTAAGCCAATGTCTTGTGTTATGGAGGATAATGTTTTTATCTAAGCTATTTTCCTGGTCTGCTGTTGTTGCACACTCATGCCGATCCACGCCACTCTACTGGTTCACACTATCAAGAACTTACAGCCGTCAGGCCACTCTCCTGGATCACACTAACAACCAAGAACTTACAGCAGCCATGCCACTTTACTGGGTCCCACTAACAATCAAAAACTTATGGAATAGGAAAGTTTGAATAGGGATAAGAGATTTTTAATTGTGAACATAAGGTGTAATTAAACTATTTGCTTAGGAATAATGACTGGAGGTTTGAAGGGATACAAGATAAATTTTTGCTTTTGCTGAGTGTTCTTTTGTGTTAGGAATAAATCACTGGGTTAAGATGTCAATGTGAAGCATTTCATTTTAACCCTCAGGTACCCTTGCAGTAGTGGAAAATTTATACAACCTTTGATTTGAACTGAATTAATAAAACTTTCATGAATGCACTTCAATCAGACTAACTTGGCCAACCTATGTGCCACCTACTTAAATGATAGATTTGCTGCACTGGAAATTCAGATGGAAAAGGAATTAATAAACAAAGAAAAATCAAATACTACGATCAATAAAATAGCATAAAAAATATTTTTTACGTCTCACGAGTGAACAAGAATCATGTCATTTCTGACATTATGTGTAGGTACATTTACGCTCATTTTCCCTCTAACACATACGTACTGACCTGCAGGTGCCATCAGTGTTATCAGGACCATCAAATTGCCCAGCGTTTTTGTAAACCATGGGCTTAGAGAATAACTTATAAACTTCTGCAATGCCTGACAAATGTTTAATTTTCAGGTCTGGCTGGAGACCTGACCATCTCCTATGCTCCCAGCACTCTGAGGTTCAGTCATGCCGGGGCCCTGCGAGCGTCTTCTCTTGATGATGTGCTGGCTGCAGCCATGGGCTACACACCACAGGTTAATGTTCCTGCATGAAATTATCCTGATATGAAATTACACTACGTATGCTGCCACAATGACTTCAAACTTTTAAGCTTAAATATGAAGACTGTTGGAATTTTTTTCTGATATCCACATATATGACTTTTGTTTTGTTGACTTGTCCCCTAGTCTTACTGTTTGAAATAACTGTTGTTCAAACAGCAGCAATTGATCTCTTTTTTATACAATAATTTATTGCCTGTCAAATGCTTGAATTGAAGAATGGACTACCATTTATAGCAAAGATGCCTAAATGCATTTAATTCGAGGCCAAGTTTCTTTGAGAAATTGTTCATGATATATTAATTTTGTAATAGACCTCACCTTGGTCGGGGCTGACGATCACCTCGCCATTCAAACCGCCCTCTGCTGTTGTTGTGGTTGGCATCGATGGCAGTGGCAGTGCCGTGCAGGAGGAGGGTCAGAGCTACGCCCTGCAGGAAGACCGGTCTCTCACCAATGTCTATGGAGCTCTGCACTCGGTGGTCTCAGCCCGCGCTCACAGACCTACACATTTTGTACACATGGAGGTGGCTGATGGGTATGGTGACTCTCACTCTTGTGCTGATTTGTGATGAACATAAAAATTAATGTTATTAGGCTATTAATTTCACACTCTGTGAGATGCCAGTGACGTTTAAGATCTTGGCGTTTCTAAAATATCAAGAGTGATAATTGAAGGCTATTTAGCCATCAAAATATAATTGTATAAGCTAGAATGGATGGTAACCAGCATTTGATATCCCACGCAAATATTGGCTTTCATATTTGATGGGTTTCTCTAATGGGATTACTGTAGTGTGCATTGCACTTCATAACACTGACGTCCACTAATGTGCAACCAATATTTGATTGTTGTCACCCACCACTGCATCTCACTACCACCCTCTCCCTTGTTCCAGAGCGGGCACTTTTGTGGTCGAGCTGTCCTTGCCTGACGACTCTTCTCTCCTGGCAACCCGTGAGCCTGATGCATCCTTCCTGCTTGAGATTGGGGCTCTGCCTGTCCTCATCAACAAGGTTATCTCACCTGTTACTTGATTCTCAAGAGTACATTGTAGAATTATACTCGATTCACAATCGTATTTCGGATCTTAAATATATGTGATATCCATTATCTGAAATAAATAATCCAGAGGTGTTTCTCACATCTTATCTATGCTGGGTGTGTGCAATTATTACATTTAATTTATTACTTCATTGAAGGTTGAATTTGGTTTTTTAGATGTCAGTGAACAGCAGCGTTCCTCACGGCGGCCAAGACTTTGTTTTCTACCAGCTTGAGTCATTCGCACTTCTGGTCAAGACTTATGGCGACGATTCTCCTCAGGTGACATTTTCCTGCAAATTGTTCATTCCAAGATCAGATTTTTTTAGCATTTCTATGAAAGTTTACCTTTAATTAGTGCCCACTGTCACAGTCTAGGGGAAAAGAGAGTAATTAAAGGTAAGAGTGGGTATGCATTAGTTACCCTCAACTGATCGAACCACTGAGGGAGCAAGTGATGAATTATTTTAAGAAACTACCAGATTAACCAGAGTTTACTGTTCTCAGTCAAATCCTATGGCCATACTTTCAAAACTCGCTATTTGAACGTAAGTGCTTACACTCTGTTTTCTTGTCTGTGATTGGTGGATTTTGCTTGAAAGGCCGTCAATGATTGGCTGATGAACTTACGATCTCTTAACTTTTTTTAAAGTTTGGGCCCGAGTTTTGATCATGATGACTGTCGTGAAGCTGATGTCTCGCTCGTGCTCAGGTACGAGAAGGCAAGCAGCTGCTGCGCTCGGCCATCGACCGGCTGGTGGCAGGCGCCAGGGCCGTGTACCAGGACCAGGTGCTCGTGGTCTCTGTCGTCATGGAGAAGTCCTCGGAGATTCTCTCCAGGCCCGTCAGGGAGGTGCTCCAGGCTCGTCAGGTGTACTCGGTATGTAAAGCTCCGCTCGTGCACCGCTCGTGTAATGTTTCACAAGTTGTTTTCTATTGCCAAAACTCGCTCAAGTAAAAATATTTGCCTCTCTTTTATAATATTGCAAAAAATAATACTAACATTAACAAATTTCAGTTGATTCCAAAACCTTAATAGGTATGTTGTGAATGCTTGATACTTGGAACATATTGAGAAGAACACGCCCTAAACGTGCTGCATGTTCACGCGTCGTACAGTGCGCAGATATGTTGTTTACTATTGCTGCTGCTAAGAATATTCATGGTGTAGGCTACGAGATAATCTAAGTACAATGTAGTCCGCCCTGATATTGGCTAGTCTCACACGTAAAAAATTTAACGCCCCTGGCGCCTGCATACTGCATAATTATTTTTCCCTAGCTGTTTTGTGTAAACAGTAATGGATGGATGTGCCATCAATCCTGGATTATGTACATCGTGAGAAATTCACTGCTGGCGATTCCGTTTCTTAAACCTTATTGCAATTAATTAATAATTACCGCTACCTACTGTTAGGCAGAATAAAATAATAGTTCAGTATTTTATAAATAAGTTGAACAAAATGGAAACTTGTGTACACGTGTGTTGCGTTGGCAGAAGTCAGACTTGGGTCTGGCGTCTGAGTACGGCGAGGACTACCCCGCCATCTTTAACATCATCCTCTTCCTGAGCATCGCGCTGCTCATCGCTGTGATCGCCGTCAGCGCCGCCATGGCCTTCATGGATCCTGGCCGTGACTCCATCATCTACCGCATGACCAACCCGCGCATGAAAAAAGACCAGTGAATGTGGGGTGTGGTCTGAGTGCTGAATGGGGGGGGTGGTCCTGTTGTTGAATGTGGTGTGTGGTTGTAGCGCTGAATGTGGAGTGTGGCCTGCACGCTGAATGTGGAGTGTGGTCGGCGCTAAATGTGGGGTGTGGTCTGAGCGCTGAATGTGGGGTGTGATCTGAGTGCTGAATGTGTGATGTGGTCTAAGTGCTGAATGTGTGATGTGGTCTAAACGCTGAATGTGTGATGTGGTCTAAGCGCTGAATGTGTAGCCCGAGTCACACATTCATGCGCTGCTGATTGTTTCATAGTAAACCAGCTCTACTCAGTGGTTCCAGTTGTCGCTTTTAAAAACTTTAGTGCGCTAGTCTTATTTGGGAGATGATGTGCATAACAATGCGCAAGAATGTTTTTTTTTTTTTTGTGCATGATCATGCGCTATAGAGGCAAGTATTCAATGAAGGCGACCCATTTACTTGTCTCACTATTTATTGAATTAACTAGGCTCGATTAAAATTCTGCGCTATTGTATTCTTGATGTAACTTTCTAGGTGATTGTTTATTCATGGTGTGTTGGATATACCCTTCTCCTTATCCTTGTTGTAAACGGTTCTCGCTCGCTCACACTCCTCAGAATATATAGTTAGTGAATATTTAAATCTCAGATTTCCTCTATTTATATTTCTTTATTTTTCCTCAACAGAAGATTTTTAACTTTTCTCGAGTATATCTCCTATTATCTTATCGCTGTTCCATATGATTTTATCCATATGTATGGAATATGTTACGAGCTGCTTAATTCTGTTTGCTTTTTTTGTGTAAGTAAAGGAAAAAATTTGTGCTACTGATGTAATTATTTCTCTTTGGTCTTGTACATAATCTGTTCAATAAAAACTTGGTGCGTCACTTTTTCTTCTGATTGCATCCTCTGCAGCCCGTATTTTTGGTGAGCTCTTGATTGTCAGCCAAACTTGCAGGGTGGCCAAGAGCTTACAGTTCAGAGACCCAGGATTTTAGCATTGAGTTGCGGGTTCGAAACCCACACTAAGCTGTGAAAATTCTGCGATAAAAAAAAACTCTGAGACCGTAATACATATGAACTGAGGGGACAAAAACAGTGCAGGATGTTATGAAGAATTTGCGGTTTCACCTTGGCAATAAAACTCTGGGGCTGACGTCCAATGTATGTTGCCAGAAACTGATGGTAGTCGGATAGACGAGAACCTGTTCGGCGAATATTTGTGAACAAATTCAAGTAAAATATTGATTACCCGAGTAAAATATCGATGCGTTATTTTGGATAAATGATTCGGCGATTTAGTAATGTTTCAAATTGCGAAACTAAATGAGCGATAGCAAAATAATTACCCTTTTTTAACAAGTATTTTCTTCATAATTCAACTCCCTTTTAAAATTTTTGAAGTCAACGTGAAACTGATAGAAGATCTTGTCCGTAATTAAAATGTTCCATTCCTGCACTTTAATTAATTAACTAACCCTCCTCTTACCGTTTTCCAATGTCACAGTAATCCACTACTAAAAATATCTCCTCCAGATAGTCTGCCGACTCATCAAGCATAGTGTAGATGCAAGCTCGCATGGTCCCTAGACGCGTATGTATAGTGCTGGTCTCCCAACATTATTATCACTATATTATGTTGTTCACATGTTAGGATGTTACCGATTTTTAAATAACTAGGCGATTAACCGTCACGCATGGTTGAACTAATACAAGATTAACCAAGGCGCAGCTGCGCCTTGAGGATGTCATTTGTTATTCCACCCGTGATGTCACCTCGGTCGTTGTGACGTCAACTTGTGACGTCACCGTGTGATTCAAACTGATTTGTAACACCTGTTTTGCTTAGAATATGACTAGTTGCAGTAAATATTTTTTTTAGCTATTATGATGAGGTCAATTATTATATGGTTGAGCTATTGCAAGGTTTTCCCTAGTGAAGCTGCGGTTGTCATTTGTTATTCAACCTGTGACGTCACCTTGGCTCTTGTTACGTCACCTCGTGACGCCAAACTTATTTGTAACCCCGGTTTTGCTTAAAATAACACTAGTTGCATGTAGCGATATGCCTTTTTGAACAGCCTCCCTGATTACATCGTTGGCGCTCCGAGTATGAACGCGTTCAAGAACAGACTAGATAAAGCTATGGAAAAATATATTGTCAGACTTGAAATGCCTAACACCATATCGAACCCGGCGGAAGTCTAGTAGCTATTTCAAACTATCGTGAGTCCTAAAATGATCCGGTAAAATGACACGATTTTAGATATTCTGTGAACAAGTCACGAAAAGTTCAAGAACCGGAGGCAGGCCACATCAGGCCTACTCTTTAGCGCCGACATCACAGTGTTATGTTATAATATGTTAGTGAATAAATTTCCTTGTGGCATTTTGATGAGGTAAATTTTTTTCAAATGCTTTCAAAGATTACATAAAAGCAATGTGTTGATCTACCGGTATACTATTTACATTTGTGCCCACAGTGACGTCACTCTAGAGATGCGCAGAACTGCGAAAATCGTCATCGCCGTGGGTTAACCTTATATTAGTTTAACTATAGTCACTTGCACTGTGCTGTAGGAACCCACCAGGATCGTCTTCATGGAGTGGCCCGACCTCATACGACCGATGATAACTGAAGCCCTTTCAAAAATGTTCGTGTTGTATCATGTATACCGGTATATGTGTGTCATTCCCGCCAAAATTTCAGGATTCAGCGATTCCTTCCCATTGCCTGAAAATGAATGTTGTAACATTCGAAACGTAGCAAATAAATTGAAATTACTTCCTTTAACTTGCAATATTGTCAACCAACGTCAACTGCCGTTGAATATTGAATATTGTTCGATCCTGACAATTTAAATAATTGAATTCGCTGGTCATCAGACACCCATATATATATATCCCAAAAATAATCCGCATTTATTCGCTTTACATTCAAATTTGTGGAATTCGGTCTCATCTAAATCCTAAAAATAAATTCAAAGCAAAACCGACTACCATTCCCGTTGTAACGGATGATGAGCGTAGTGTGACTGTCTAGTCAATTTTTTTTTTCTGAATAGTCTGGCTCAGGACACGGCAAGCAATGCATGTCTGTTCCGCTGGCTGCCTGCGAGGCTACGAACAGCAAGTCGAGTCGAGACTGCTTCTACGTGTCGGGATACCTACTTGCAGTTGCACTTTACGATATTTTGTGCCATCTTGAAACTATTATGATTATCTATCTACGTAGAATAAAATATTTAATGATTGAATTCAAATTTTGAACTTTTTTAGTCATTCATAATTTTGATGTACCTTGTTAATGTTAAAGGATTTAACTTTTAAGCTCACATCAATTGTGCAGGTGTGCACTTGTTCTTATAAATATAATCTTATGAACTTTACCCCGAAGATCCTGGCTACTGTTGATAGATTCACATTGTATTTGCGTTGGTTTTGAAGATGATTGTAATACAGGATTTTGTTTGTGGGTGATCTCCTAGCTGAGTAGTATTCTAGTTGAAACTTAATGGTTGAAGTTTTTTATCCTCAATAAATTTGAGGATTGAGGTGACATTTTAGTGCCACTGTGCCACTGACATGCAGTCCCACATCAGGTAATGTTGGCTTCAGCTTTGATTTAGAAGTTAAGTGGTTCTGGTTCTGTTGTTGAGAACTTGAGATAATTTTCAATTTCTTCATAATTTTGTTATCTAATATTCTATTATATTATAATAATAATATTTGTTGTATCTAATGAATTATATAGGTATAATGCCATATTACTCATGAGTCATGATATGTTTCAGTTGAATAATGTATGGCATTATTAGCCTTTGGCTCTGGTAAATGGTAGTATCTGCCTAACAAAAACTAAGATAGAAATTAGGAAATATCTGTAGAAATTATAATTTTCTAGAAAATTTTTCAACTTGTTCATTGGTCATATCAGTCTTATTTTGATCCTAAAACCATTGTCTTTTAATTATTTTGATCTATTTCAATTGTATATTCACCTGTATTTTAGCATTTTACTTTAAAACTACTATGGTGGGATCTTGAGTTAAGACTTAAGAGTTTCTTCAGCTAGGATCCTACTCCCTAATTTAATGAGATAGCATTGAACATTCCATATTCCATATTGATTGCTATTTGTATTTGGGCTACATCTCATTGTTGGCTAATGTATTGTATTATTTTTGTATATGTACTGTTCAGTTATTTTCTTCAATTCAGTTATTTTCTTCTTATTGTTATTCTTTTGATATCAAATATCCTGCACCTGCAATATATGTTCATAACTTCATATATATTTCTGTTCAATTCTAATGCTAATCGGCATTTGTATGGTTCCCTTCAATCAACTTGGTCAAAACTTAAGTTAAACTAATGTTAGATAGACTGGTTTGGAATCTCACATGCAAGCAATAATTATATTTGTTTTTCCCTCCAGAAAGCTGCTGAAAGACCAGACTTTAGGCAAATGTTCTGGTTGCTTGAATGGAATCTTTGGTGCAAGGTAAGCTTTCATGTCAATTTTTATGTTGTGTTGGGAAGTCACTATTATTGTGTACCATGTTATGCATTAACAGTTAAATTGTGACAATTTTAATTTATTGTTTATAGTCTTCTATATAATATGTACAACTTAGCTAAAATACCCCATTTTAAACAAATCAAATGTTTTCGATCAACATATATTAGGTTAAATATTCACAAGCTGCAGTAATTTTTCTTCCTTTTTACCCCAGATGGTGTGTAATGCTAGCCAAGCGCAAGCTTGGTGCCTTCATAGCAGCTGTGATTCTTACTCCAATTGTGGTGCTTTCCATCCTAGAAAAACCTGGTGAGAATCTATTGACATTTCTAGCTTGATGCATTGCACTGTGGTCAACCTGGCACTACTCCACTCTAATCTAATCTAAAGTAGGTAGTAATTCAACTCCAATCTAATCTAATCTCTATTCTAATCTAAAGAGTACCTACTCTCCATCTGTTCACTTACGACTAAAGAAATTTCTTATCGGAAATAACCTTGTACTATTTATCTGTATTATATATAATGAAGATATTGCTTGAAATAATAATTCTCTTTCACTCTTTTAATTGTATTCTTTGATCTCTGATCCCAAAGCTCCCCTGGACTGTAAGTGGGTAGTGACTTTCAATGCAGTAATGTTTAGAAGTATGATGGCAATGTTTCCTATTGGTTGCTCTTGGAATTGTAGCAAAATACGGAAATGTGATCATTCTACCTGCTTCTTTGTTATCTATCTTCTTGACTAAAAACAATATTTATTGCCAAGAAATTAAATATTTCAGCTGGATTCAAATTTAAATAATTTTTATGAGTTATTATTGCCTCCATTACAGGTAGATAATTTCTGGACATTGGAAAACTCAAACCTATCCATGCATCCTCTAACTCTAACATCCATGAGCTCAAACCTCTGCATGCATATTAATTTTTTTCCCTTTGCTACTGCACTTTACTTTTACTTCAAATTTTCTATGCATTTCACTTGCAGTTGGAGCTCAAAATGCATTCTTAAAAAATGCAGGAATAATTTGCTGCAAAGTCATGTGTGCCTTTATCTCTTAGTTCTTTGATTTCTTTCCAATTTATTTGGTTAATAGCACAGTAAATTTTCATGAACAGCTGTTGAGCTGATATTGGCAGGCATTTACTTGGAACACTTGCAGCAAAATGATAGTGGCTGGATGATTAATGATCACTCTTGCTGCAGGTGCAGCCAATACAATAGCGTTACAGTGCCTGGCTACATGCACTGCCTGCTGGTGCAGCCAATACAATAGCGTTATAGTGCCTGGCTACATGCACTCACTGCTGGTGCAGCCAATACAATAGCGTTATAGTGCCTGGCTACATGCACTCACTGCTGGTGCAGCCAATACAATACAATAGCATAATTAAAGACATGTACCCAAATAGAGCACAAAACTTCCATTCAGGTCCTGTCTTAATTTCAAAGCATACTATTTGAACTTTTTATTTTTGAAAACAATTTGTGGAAAAAGGGAAAAAGCTGTTATTTGCCCTTTTAACTTCCATCTATGTCTATGTCATCAATGCCATTGAATTCCACCACTAAAAAATTAATATTCCACGCACTGTCCCGACATTGAAATTATTGTCGATATTGCTCTAATAGCCTCTATATACACTGCATTTATGGAGCCATGCAGGATTCAAGCACACAAATTTCAACAAATATACTGTATATGAGAGACAAGCAGCTTGCCCAGGCCCTGCTTGGGATGCATTGTCTCTGCAAAAGGAAAATCCTGTTATCCTGCATCCTGATTTCCGTATCATTATTTTGAAATTAACCTACGATATTTGAAGTATTTAACTAACTAACATTTAGCATGGAACGCTCTTTCACTTCCCAGTTTGAAATGCGAACAAACCGAATTTATATTTCAAATTATTGAACTCAATGCAATGGGCTAAATTAACAATCTCATTTCAATTTCATAATTCAGCATTTTTGTTCCTGCCTTGCAATGCCTCATTATTCAACCGCCAAAAAGTTCAGGTTCAGGTGTATAATATCCTAACTCGATGAGTATCTTTGATACGAACATTTGTGGCGCCAGTTTATAAAAACAAACGCTTGAAAGCTCTAACAATTGTACGCAAGATTGATCTATGACGTAAGTTCTTTTAGAGCTTACTACGACTTTTTTGAATAATTTAAACGTGAAACGTGAATTAAATTGCTCTGCTCTGTGCGCTTATATACAATTTCCAGCAAAGCAAATTTATTTCTTGGCTATTCGATCTTCTCTGGTCTCCACGCGCGTGTCGAGCAAAGCAAGGTATTTCAATAAGTTTGATTTTCCTTCTGAAGCTCCCATGAAACAAATGGCTTTCTCTACTTTTGAGTCTGTGCCCATGCTCATGTCTCTAGACTGGAGACACCTCTACAGCGACCAGCTTCTTATGATACAGTACTATATATGGTGATTTTCTTCCTGTTTATACCTAGTTTTTGTTCATGTACAAGTGCTCAGTACGTTGAGACTGTGAACACAAGCAATTTCTCCCCTATATTCATTGACTGGTGGGCACTTCGTTTTAAGGTGGACGGGTGTATCGCTGCTCTGTAGCCTGGGTTGCGACGAAACATCGGATTAGTCCATGTTTCGTATAGGACATTTTTTCCTTCTTCAATTTTGTCGTTGGCGAAGCGCACTGAAGTTTGCATAGAGGTGTTCAACTTTATTTTTATTCATCATGAATTTTAGACGCTGAATTCAGCTCCTTGAAAGGAAGGATTTGCTAACTTTCATTTTTTATTCAAAAATTTCATAAAGGCTAATTAAGTATTCTGGTATAGTATCGGCTCAGTTGATGATCGAGTTTAATGATGAATGTTTTCATCGCGCATGTGAACGTCGTGACTGCAGTAAATGTGGACAACACGGAGAGAAGTCGCAATGAAATGCGGTTATTATGCTCATAAAAATTCATGATTAAATGGAGGCATTCGCGAATTATCCTTCGCAATTCATCGTTCTTAGGCGCTGGGTCTTGGGTTACGCTGCTGCAGCTGTCGTTGCGTAGCGCAAGTGTCCGGACATTGCAGTGTACTCATTGCATTGATTTATAGAACAAAAAGTATTCGATAAATCAATGATGCAATCAATGCTTCATAAGTAATTCCGGTAAACCTTAGAAAACTTTGCATAAATGCATACGAGGTCATTACTAAGTCTAGTCATGACTGATTCAATTTTTGCAAATCTTGGCACTGAACGTCGAAACTATGAAATGATTGGTATTGCTGATGCTACTTATATCAGTATGAGGACACGAACTTGAATGTTCATCTGATGAATGCCCCGTGGCGTTATCCTGATGCCCTCGAACCCTGCTGCATTCGCTTCAGTCTGTGCTGCTCGCTGCGTCCGCACAAAAACCACTAACTCTTCTAACGCTTATGTTTGATTAATTTCATAATTCGCTGTATTGCCGGGAGCCACATTTTCAATACAACCCTGCCAGTTTTTCACGGGTCGATTTTCTTCCCTGGGCACTGTATGCTATACAAGATATCATCTGAACGCGTGGAGGCTTTTATCTGATCAGCTGGAGGGCTGCTCGCAGGTGTTGTGAGCTGCGGTGGCGTTCCCTAACAAAATTTAGAGTCGCCCCAGCTTCTGGTAATCCAAATCAGACGCTGCCACGTCTGAAAATTTTCACTGGGTTAAGCACAAACGACGCTGTAATGTTGAGATGACGCGCGCTGCTTACAGCTGTGTCGTCTCAATGAAGAGTTCAGCTTAACAAATATCCCTTGTGTGAAATATGAATGAGAAAATATAGGTAGTGAAGCTGAACTCGTTATAGTTGAAGAGGTGCTTATATGATGTTGGGATTGGTTATCGCGATTCAGTTTTTGTAGTTGTTTGTTCGCACGAGGAGCTAGGAATTATTTTGAAATAAGTTTTATTATCATTTGAAGACGCGGTTCTTCGCTCTCTGTGGGTGTTTTTTTTCCTGCAGTTTACTGTCGTGTCCGACGAATAACACCAAACCCTCTGGTCGGTTGGTGTGAATATGTTCTCCTGCATTGATGTTCTCATGCTTTGTTGGCCTATGGAGGAGTCAATGAAACATGCGCAGCCATGCGCATGTTACTACCATGCGCAGCCGCATGGTAGTAACATGCGGTGCCATGCTGCACCACGCGTCCAACAGCCGCATGATATCATGTATATTTGTCTTATTTGCGCACTGTTGTCTGACGAGCCTCTTATATCAGGCTTCAGTTAAGTTATTCAGCATTTCTTGCTGCAGGTGAACGTTCTCATTCACTTGATTTACGGTCTCTTGTAAGCGGACGGTCTTATTGATCGATCCTCACTTTTTATTCTTATTTTTGAGCGTGAGTATTGATTGTGTTGAAACTAACTGCTGTCGACAAGCAAGTGTTGTGGTGCATTGATTTCGTTATTGAAAAGACCTTTTGGAAAGCTGGAACAACATATGTGTGACTGCACATGTGGTGCTTTGTGTTGTCATCACTGCCGTGCACGAGTGTGTTGTTATCACATAGTCACCATCACCTCCCCATCACCACCACCTCCCCATTAGTGACCTGTTGACAGGTGCGTGTAGTGACCTGTTGACAGGTGCGTGTAGTGACCTGTTGACAGGTGCGTGTAGTGACCTGTTGACAGGTGCCTACACTAGTCTTGTGTTGCAGGTGCCTACACTAGTCTTGTGTTGCTGGAGCCTACACTAGTCTTGTGTTGCAGGTGCCTACACTAGTCTTGTGTTGCAGTTGTGTGCACTTGTGGCCGGAAAGCTAGCAGTTGCCGAGCCAATATCTTGTGGAGGCTTTTTATTGAGATAAGCGATTAACCTATCAACCTTCTCTGCTGTGTCCCTGTTTGAAGACTTGTTTGTTTATATATTATTATTATCCGAACTGTTTTCATAATTTTTATAACTTGGAAATTATTCTAGCCTGAAGACTATGTCTAAACAATCTTTGCTGTATTTCTACCCTTCTTTATTTGTTAATTATAAATCACAATCCTAAAGTTCCGAGTCAATGTAGGGCTGCTGTGGAGGGCACAACCTTCAGTCCGCGGTCACTTATAACCAATCCACTTATAACCAATCTTCGCACTCACGCTTTGATTACACTTGCTAGCGCTAACCGATGTTTGTTTTTTATTGATTTGCCAGTTCAGCGTGATATTTAGCACTTATCTATAGTTATCCAAATAATTTCTGCTGTAACTCATTCCAATTTTTCCCCAAGGTTTTGACTCTGTGGCTGTTGATTACTGCTACATTGCTGTGTTCGTTCTCAAAAATTTTATTTTCTTATCTATTTCATTCTCACCGCCGTGACCTGGAAGTGAACTACAAAGAAAAGGGCTGTTGCGATTCATCGATTGTTATATCCATAATATCCTGGAAACCAACTGTTGATAGTTACATTAAAATCTGTTTACTGGCCGCCATGCCAACAGCCGCTGCTATCGAGCGCCGCGGTGTGTACAGGACTGCGACTCCTTATTTTGTGTACGTATTCTTCAGTTAATCGATGCGTCGTCGGTCATCCGGCACTGCCAGAAATTTATTACGCACTTTGTTCTTAAGTGCGAGCTTTGATAGATTTATGTCTTATTATTTTATGCCCCATTGTGTTCTGAGCTTGAATTGAACTCGTGAGTTGCATGAACTAATAATTGACGAGCTACGTACTCACTACTCATTATGATGAACTCTTATACAGATCAATACGCCTACATCAAAGAGCTATGCTCTGATGCAGGTGTCAGCTATGTAGTTTGTTCATTTATCACTCATTATTATAATTTCCTTTGACTCTTATTTCATGTACTGCGCAGGCAGTGAAAGAAATATCATAATCCGTGTGTTTCGTAATTAAGAATATAAGTGCGGAAACCGGCATTTGATCAACGCAGTATTGCTCGCTTTAGGAAGTCCTGAATTCTGCCATCGATCTGCATGTGGCTGCCGGGAGAATTATTCATTTGAACTTCGAACATAGCAGTTTTTTTGAACAGCTTTCATTATAATGATGAATAGTGTCTAATGTCGGGGTGTGCGCTTCATCGCTGGCTAAGTCAGCTTCACCATCACTGGCTAGGTCAGTTTCACCATCACTGGCTAGGTCAGCTTCACCATCACTGGCTAGGTCAGTTTCACCATCACGGGCTAGGTCAGCTTCACCATCACTGTCTAGGTCAGCTTCACCATCACGGGCTAGATCAGCTTCACCATCACTGTCTAGGTCAGCTTCACCATTACTGTCTAGGTCAGCTTCGCCATCACGGGCTAGGTCAGCTTCACCATCACTGTCTAGTACTGGCTAGGTCAGCTTCACCATCACTGGCTAGGTCAGCTTCACCATTACTGTCTAGGTCAGCTTCGCCATCACGGGCTAGGTCAGCTTCACCATTACTGTCTAGGTCAGCTTCACCATTACTGTCTAGGTCAGCTTCACCATCACTGGCTAGGTCAGCTTCACCATCACTGGCTAGGTCAGCTTCACCATCACTGGCTAGGTCAGCTTCACCATCACTGGCTAGGTCAGCTTCACCATCACGTGTGTCGGGGTCGCTGAACGGGGCCGAGCCTCGTGTATAATCCATGATAATATCTTATCATTTAGCGGCCTCTGATATTCTCAAGGTTTAATCGTTACAATAGAGAAGAATGAGCGCTCATTAGAGGAATTTTTGAGTTGTTGGGCGCCTCATATGAGTGTTATACGGACTGATGAATGTTAACTGATGTATTGCTGCGGACAGATGAATGTTAACTGATGTATTGCTGCGGACTGATGAATGTTAACTGATGTATTGCTGCGGACTAATAAATGTTTACCGATACATTACTGCGGACTGATAAATGTTCAGCAATATTTTACTGTGGACTGAAATGTTTACTGATGCATTACTACGGACTGATAAACACTACGGCGCGTGACACTCACTGCACGGCGCGTGACACTCACTGCACGGCGCGTGACACTCACTGCACGGCGCGTGACACTCACTGCACGGCGCGTGACACTCACTGCACGGCGTGTGACACTCACTGCACTACCGTAAACAATGACCACGTCTCCCCCACAGCGGAGAACAGTTCGGTGGTGGGGAACCTGAGTGCTGACGCGCGGCGTCTGCTGTACAACGTAAGCAGCCCCGGCGCTCTGCAACTGCCGTCCATCTACAGCTACCTGCCTCATCTGCTGCGCGACCCTCACTCTACCACACCCGCCTTCATCCTCTCCAAGCGCAGAACCAACGGTACCTGTCTTATAATACTTTATAATTCATCATTACCATTGAGAACATTACAATTATTTATACCTCAATAAACCTCATCATTATCATTAGGAACTGTTACAGGGGAGAAGGATATGATTATGATGCTTTATTGCTGTTAATAGTCGTACATTATTATTACTTCCACACGACAACTTGTTTGCCGCACGCTTGCACATTCTCAACTTAAGCTGTTTTTTTTGTGTTGTACAGAATTTGTTGTACAGCAACACATACCTAGACTTGTGCTCTGCTGTATTGCTACACTTGTGTTGTACAGCAACACATACCTAGACTTGTGCTCTGTTGTATTGTATGTCTGGTGGTGTATGTCTGGTGGTGTATGTCTGGTGGTGTATGTCTGGTGGTGTATGTCTGGTGGTGTATGTCTGGTGGTGTATGTCTGTTAGCCCTATCAAAATTTTGGGCGGTTAACTTCTGAATTAAAGACGCATTTAGCTTGCCCAGCGCATAAATTAGCGGCTTTATGGTAGCCTCTGACTATATAGCCATATCATGCGGTAGCCTCATCAGCGTTTGACCAGGGGCATCATGAGAAAGCTTGACCAGCAGCTCATTTTAGTCATATTACGCAGATTAGGCCCACCGGGTAACTGACTTACGAAAGAGGCTGCTATAGCAGCCTCTTTCGGAAGCTTCTAACTATAGTTAGAAGCCAAACATCGTACGTGCCGATCTGCGCCTGATTCACCCACCTCGAAGCCGACCCCATTACCACTGGGGCGACCGTAATTGGAACGAAAACTTTGACTGGGGGTGTATGTCTGGTGGTGTCTGTCAGACTAAGTTTATGTCGAGACTCACGCTGTCGCGCACTAAGCTCATGTTCAGACTCGCGCACTAAGCTCATGTTGAGACTCGCGCACTAAGCTCATGTTTGTTGTACCCACAGAGCGACCTGGACTACGTGCGGCAGGTTGCATCGTTGGTCCACAGGAAGTGAGTTGCCATCTCGCTCTGTAATTCCCCTTTGCCAGTTTCTTGTTCCTGATAAATTTTTCTACCGAATTGATAGATGAATCTTAACCCGGTATTACGAAGTCATGAGGGACGAGTGAACTTTTAAATTTAAAGAATTGATACTTTCTGTATTGCTGATACATTTGATTGGAAAAGAATTATGTAAAGCCTGCGAAGTAAGCTAATGTTTTTTGGCAACATGACAATACATTAACGGCTTAATACATTTCTATCCATCAAGTTGTATGAGATCTCATTGAGTGGCTCAATAAGTTTTATAATAAGTTTGGTACGCTGCTGACTGCGCCTGTGCTGCAGCCTGAAGGAGCACGTGGAGTCTGGTCTGGTGGAGGTGCTGTCGCCCCCCGCCTCCTTCTACCCTGACTTTTCGACCCTCAAGTCAACCCTCGGCGACCCCCTCGAGAGGGTTAGGTGGGTGCAGCCCTAGAGAGGGTTAGGTGGGTGCCACATGTCGCTATAGTTCTAATGTTCTCAGTTTGTATTCACGTTGCACTGTAGAAGAATTAACTCTCAACTTCATGGCAATACACCAGAACTTATAACTGTGACACATGATGCAGATGGCGCACCAAGCAGAACCTGGACTACGCGTTCCTGATGATGTACGCGCAGACGAAGGGCGTCTTCTACCTGCAGCTCGAGGACGACGTGCAGACCAAGCCAGGCTACATCTCCACCATCACGTCCTTCGCACTACAGAAGTCCGCCCAGAACAAGGACTGGTTTGTGCTGGACTTCTGCCAGCTCGGCTTCATAGGTGAGACTGCAGGACTTGTGGCCTACGTCACGGTGTCGTGGAGAGTCGTGTGTGTCGTGTAGAGTCATGGTCATGCTTGTTGTGTCGTGTAGAGTCGTGGTCATGCTTGTTGTGTGTCGTGTAGAGTCATGATCATGCTTGTTGTGTCGTGTGCCCTGCATAAGTGTGTCATGCTGTGCATAAGTGTGTCATGCTGGGCCCTGCATAAGTGTGTCATGCTGTTCGTGCATCTCATACTAATTTTCTTGCCCAATTGTGTTCGCAGGTGCGTTGGCTACATACGAAATGATTACGTACATTTTCATACCATCGCTATTTACAGGCGGTGTTGCTGTATGAACCATGCTGCTGTTGCCTCATGCATTCCTGTCATAGTCATCCTGTTCATCAGAAATTGTCTCAGTTTCGTTCCATGTGTCACTGATTATATTCTATTATTCGACAAGACTCCGGTTTTCCACATTTTGATTTATTTTTATTGTTTTTTGTCGCTCCATTTTCCTTCATATTCAGTATTTGTTCAAAACGATGAAGATCTTTAGTCTGAAGTGTGTCTGTTGTATCACTCACAGTGTTCACAGCAAGCTCATCAGAACTCAGTGTTACTCAGATATTCTTTTCTTTATATTCACTGTCCCGGACGATGCACTCCTAGCACGTTACGGCTCACTATGCTCCATAGTATAGAAGACAATTCAGTAACCCGTTGCTTAAGAGCTTCTGAAGGTTTCATGAGCGTTTCATTTCGAAGTGAGAATGACTCCAAGTCTTGTGACTTTGTTTAAAATTACACGATTTAGTCAGACTAGTCCCACCTTAGTGGATAGCTCTGGGGCTCAAACCTTACAAGCTGTCTTGGGTTTGATGCAACATGCGTGGTGTTGCACCGTATACGCATTGTTATGCAGTCTAAGACATCGCACCATGCGTACGATGCTCTGATACCTACACTTCTGTGCCATACTCCCTTACGCATCCAGCGCACACAGTCAAACGCTTGAAATATACAATACATTCATACACATTGAAGTCTTATATTAACAGACATCCATGCTTCAGGTGCCCACTGAACGCATTTAGAATGTATGCACATCGATACACACGGTACTCACCTACTAGCAACACACTCCCGTCAGTTACAACACGCTCACACCATCTTGCAACACACCTACGAGCAACAACACACTACACACAGTTGCCCGCAACACACTAGACACGGTTGCCCTCCCGCATCCATGCCCACGTATGGCCGATGTGTGCAGGCAAGATGTTCAAGTGTGCAGAACTTCCGTCGCTGGTTCAGTTCTTCCTGATGTTCTATAACGATAAGCCTGTAGACTGGCTGCTCGACTACCTCGTCCAGACCAAGAGCTGCAACCTCGACAAGGACGGCGTGAGTGCTGCTGCATGTCACGTCTAATCACCACGTCACCATTGGTGTCTTAGATAGCATCTAACGGTTGCACTCTAATATCCGTCTAATGCTTACTTCCTCACAACTAAAATACATTCGGGACATCAGCTTAGCATGCGCTGCAAAAATCTCATGCAATTTTTCATTTAGTTTTCCTCTTTAAGAATGTTCACACTTATACCCCTACCTTAATTAGAACTGACAATTTCCCTCAAAAACTCACAATTTCCCTCTATTAATACTGATACGGATGAAGGCACTAACCAATCTCGTGGGACAAAATTGTTTATTTTTAGTGTGATATTAATTAAATGATTGGCATCTCAACGTAATTCCCTTAACAAAATTATGCACATATTAACTCGAATTTGATCTGGATGGGTGAATGTGCGGTCGCCATCTAACCTCAACTTGCGGCAGCCATCTATCCTCAACTTTCTTAACTCCTCGGAACGCAAAAGTCTGTGAATGAAGAAGCGTGTCGCTGATTTTAGACTCGTCCCGAGTACCAGACTCAACATAACTGGTTCAGTCACAGGACCGTCCGCTTGTGTGGTGGTGCGGTCTAGGCACGAATTTTTTGTTTCAGTTGCTGTAGTGACGCAAGATGCTCGTAGTCATGAACCAGCGCCCAGGGTATGACAGCCATTTGGATGAGTTTTGAATTTACTCAGTAATTTGTTGTCGCTCCTTTGCTGCACCACGTTTGCCTGATTCCAACCCTCGAACCTGATTCCAAATTGATTCCAACCCTCGAACCTTCCTGCTGGCTTTACTGGCGATCCTTTTCCTCGACGTTGTATGAAAAAGTTCACTGCATGCATTTGGCTTCTTATGGTGTACCTCCTTACCAACCTCTGCTCCCTTCCTTGGCATGCTTCCTTCGACTTAATTGTATATCGTGTAAATGTGTTCATTCATAACATGTAACTTTCATTTCCTACAGGAACTCTTCTGGTATTTCAGTTTTAGTTTAGAATAAGTCTATACTTGAATACTTCTCATTTATATTCCATTATTTTACTCTTCATCTCGCTTATAATATGGAGAGGTTTCATTTTTACGCGTCCTCCTTTATGTTATTTCCGTAACCGTAACATATATGGTATGTGTACTGAATGGTATGTGTATACTATGAACTGACCGTACTTTGGAATAGTAGTGCTCGTCTTCATAACCGATGAAAATACTTCGGCTCAATGCGGTGCTTCGGCGGTTGAAGATGAATGCAATCGTACCGCTTCTTCTTGATGGAAAGCGTGACCGTATCGTACTGATGATTCTTGGTGTAGAGCTCGAAACTTAGATCTTCTGATGAAAATAGTGACCGTACTATTGATGACCGGTATTTATACGCTAGAGTCGCCCACAGTTAAGCCTATTCCCTCGAAACCGACGCCACATTCCTTCGAATGGAATGTCCCTCGCGCTGAGCGCCAACGTTTCAATGTAAACAACCTTTCCCACGGTCTCGAAACAACGGCGCCGCATTCTTAGCATTCTTAACATCTATGCATAATACATGTTCAATATTACCTACTGTCAATATTACCTACTTTATTCAGAACCACTCTACGGTCCCCCTCATTCCTTGGAGACCCCCATCACCCCTCCAAACCCCCTCACCACCAGTCCTCCACCACTGTTGATTTACTAAACAGTTGAATTGATTACATTAAAGCTGATTATTTGTAGTCGGGCAACGGCAACATTAAATAATTTACTTACCTCAGCTAAAGTTATAACGATCGAATATTTGATGCATTACTGCTAAGGAAGTTTTCTATTTTAGAACTTGAGCGTGTTTTACTGTTCAGCATGCACTGATCGATGTACCGCGAATTTCGCTGTGCCTGTTCCTTCTCATAGGTTTTCTTTTCTGAAAGCGGTTAAAATGTAAATTTGCACGAGTAGTTCCGATTTCTACGATGGATGGAAACTGGTGGCATCTTGGATGAAGGACTGGCGTCAGTGGCGTGAATCTAACCCCGAGGGCTATGTTGATCATCGTTTACATGAGAGGTGCAATTTGGCTGATGGCCTTCTTTGGTCGACCGCTGACCGTTCATCTGAGCGACCCAACACTTTGAAGACATCGGCGCCGTTGACGAGCGCAGGTAGCTAGGCAGAGAATACGGAGCAAGACGAAACGTAGTTAGGCAGAGAACCAATACGGAGCAAGACGAAAGGTAGTTAGGCAGAGAATACAGAGCAAGACGAAAGGTAGTTAGGCAGAGAATACAGAGAAAGACGAAAGGTAGTTAGGCAGAGAATACAGAGCAAGTCGAAAGGTATTCAGGCAAAGAATACGAGGCAAGGTGAAAGGTAGTTAGGCAAAGAATTTTGAACGAGGTGAAAGGTAGTTAGGCAAAGAATTTTGAACGAGGTGAAAGGTAGTTAGGCAAATAAAAGAGAGCGAGGTGAATGGTCAGTAGGAACTGAATACAGTGCGACATGGAAGGTTGGTAGAGGCGAAATCGCGTAGTGAGCGTGTTACTTATACTAGCGCGCGGCCGCTGTTGAGTTTTGTGTCTCCTTGAGCGGGAGTCTCAAACCTTCACGGAGACATCGAATGCGTTATACCGTTATCTGATAACTAGTGTTGCCGTCACTATACACAGTAAACAGGAGCTCAAGAGTTCTCGACAATAAATCAAGGTACGTAAGCGGCCTTAGCGGCCCATCTTGGTCGACTAAACACTATTCAGTTCAGCCACTACCAACCCTCGGTCTCACGACCTCATCAAGCCGATTTTTGTCGGTCCCTTGCAATGAATGAATTTGAGGGCGTGTGAATATAAAGCGGTTGCGCAAGCCAAAATGTTATCCGGTCATACGAGTCCGTCGCAAACATTGAGAGATGACCTCCCGTGGTTTCCGGAGAGATTCTAAGCAAATCACGTTAACATGACACCATCATACGTTAGTTATAGGTTTTGGCAGGTCTTGCTGGAATGTATCTGTTCATATTTATTGTGGTGATAAATACGTACGACAAGAAGGCTCATTCAAAATTGACTGACTACTCTACCGATAATCAAGGACAGGATATCAGAACAAATTTACGTCTAACAAATCGACGAGGAGTACGTTTTCACGACAGTAATGAGCGGAAAATTCCACCGTGATATTGGTTCTCGTGTAAAATACATATTTTGCCTTGACTTGCCCCGATTGTAAATGGATGCTCGAATAGCAGTTAACCGACTGGAAAATCCCGTCAAGAGCGGAGTTACGGGACTGTTGTGGGCGCACGGTTGTGCATGAGGCAGAGTCTTGAGCGTGGCACGCCTCACTGGTCACTGAGTGTTTTCTTCTTAACAGCAAGGCAGTTTTTTCTTATGTCTCCAGATATCATGAACTTCACATCAAGATCGTTATTTTTTATTGTAATGCAGCTTATTCGAGTGGTAACATTGTTTTAATTGTTGCTGTAATGTGCTTACATTTCTTGGGCACTCAGAAACGCGATGATTATTTCCAATGGGGCCTCTGGTCACTGATGGCTGAACGCGGGGTCCAGGTGCCATGTTCAAGCGGTGTTAAAACGTGACGAATAATTGTTCACTGGTCAGGTGCTGTCCTGTCATGACTTCCACTGTCACCCAAAACTGGCGACTCTTTTTTACACTCCCCAATCCCAATTTTAAGCTCTTTCATTTGGCGATTTTTGCACCTTCTTTCTTTTGCATTGCCAACCATCCAACTATCTACATCATAACATGGACGAAAGCTCAGACACAATCTCATTCTATGTTCACTTTTTCTGTTTCTGTTTAACATTATTGTTTAATACAATAATTACCTTTTCTAATTGTTTTGTTGATTGCCTTTTTCCCCAGATTCCGTCATTATTCTTTAAACTAAACATTATATAGTCAAAATCAAATTAGCTTCTCTCCGACTATCCCAATGACAAAAGTGTGAATGTCAATTCTCAAGTCGCAGATGTCGAGCTTTAATCTTATATATTTGGTGCTTAGTAATTTATTTAACGCACATATAATGCCAGGTAAACTCTTCAAGACGCGATCCTTGTCAACCTTCCTTACGTACTTGCTGCTGTTCAACGAGGCGCAGCCTGGAGATTGGCTGCTAGATTTATACTTCAACACCAAAGTTTGCCGCTCTGATAGACCTGCGGTAAACTATGCCTAATGCTCTGCGTGTGCTAAACCCACGTTTGTCTGCCGTCTCCCAGTCACTGAGTGAAGCAACGTTTCATGCCTCTTGCTCTTGTCTCTTTTTACTAACCCTCTAAGTAATCTTAAATAAAAACTCTCATTAAGCCTGTTCGTTGCTCTAATAAGTATGCGCTTGAATTTGGTTGATCTTATGCCAAATATTATTTTTGTATATATTGTTCGTGCCAATTTTATGTGCGTACCTATCACTCCTTAGTTATCGTTGAATTTTGCTTATTTCTTCCTAAGCCTCGTTGTATTCATCAGACTTGGTCCTTTTCCAGCAGTTTCATACATGAACTTAGTATATTTTATTTCAACACGCGTGAATACTGTGCATGATTCCTGTATTATATATCTTATGTACACACGTCCTCTATGATGTACACACGTCCTCTATTCACTGTGTTTTTCTCATGCTGAAAGTTGTGTGACTTTAAGTCACACTATGTATGAACGTTCAAATTCTTTGATACAAGTTATATGACTGAAACTTGAGTAAACATAATTACAAATTACTACTTGACTGTTATGCGTCTTATTCAAGTGTGGCACTTTTGATAAAGAACCATCCTATTATGCAATCATTTTCCATGTGCTGAAGATGACCAAAAATTACATGATAATCAAATGTAACTGGAATTAAATACCGTTAATGACTTTTGGAAATAATTTCTGATTAGATGGAGTTTATTCTCTCTAATTTCAAATCAAAAAGATTGAGATAATATAGCATAAATTTGATTGAGATAACATAGCCTTGGTCAGATCTTTTGCTGTGTTGTGCATCAAGCACTTGGCAGTTCACTGTTAGAAAAAACTGTCTCACTGGCGTTCTAGTGGCCGGTCGCCCCGCGAAAATAAACTGTTTCGCCGTTTTTATCAGATGTTTTACGGATTTTTAGTGTTGAATTAGAATAAAAACGGCGACACGGTGTTTCTTTTCACGTGCCGACCGGCCACTGCAACGCCAGTAATACCGTTAACGGTAATTTTTCTAACAATGTTGTCATTGCCTTGTCCTGTGTGAACAGATGGGCTGTTGGTTAACTTCTAGATTATTTATGGTCTAAGCCTGCCAGAAATTAGTTGCATGTCTTCCTATTGATAAGTAAGATATTAGGGACCTAGCAATGGTGTGGCTGCTATGATAACGTTTGTTTAACAGCAGGACTGCAAGAAAGCTAAGGAAAAGCTATGGATCCACTACAAGCCATCGCTGTTTCAACACATCGGCACGCACTCTTCACTCAAGGGCAAGGTCCAGAAACTCAAGGTGCGCTTCCTCCATCTCACTTCATCCCGTACCTCATCTCCCGATCCTAATATTCATTCTGAAATGACCAATATTTCGAATATGATTTTATTTATGATATATGATTTCTCTCATAAGAATCGGGATATATGAAATGTGAAGTCTCCCCAAGTTTGATTAGGAAATCATAAATAAGAATTTTAAAGCATTTTCAATTCTCTTGAGTTTTGCGTTTGTTTATAGCTAATTTTTCGGCGAGGAAACGTGTCAGTTTTCGTGGAATGACTCGATATTTCGTTGTGAGGCACAAGCTTATACGTATCGCTGTCTCTATACGCAATGACTTGTTTGAGCCTCGCGCCTCTAGCCACGCTGGTACGCACTGCGTCGTCCAGAGTCTCGTCTGCCTTTGGGACGTGTGCTAGCTAAACATGCCGTTAAAAAATCGCACAAAAATAGATATTCTGCGGTCGGTTAAAAATTAGGGTTTGTAACGGGAGACCCACTAACGTCAGTTTATTTTCAAAACCGAATGAAGCTCAGAGTCTGTTTACGCTGCTGAAAGATCGTTCTTGGATGCTCTCAGACAAAATGAACGAAATTTTGGCTGCGCGCCAGCGAAAGACATTCCTAACTAGTGAGTTCCTATCTGTTTGCTCAATACGTAATTGAGTGGAGCACATTTTATCGCTCGCTAGTTTCTATTAGTATTATTATAGTAGTATTGTTTCTATGCATTTAGCTTATCCAGATATGAAGTCGATCATCCCGCGTATCATCCTTATTTATGGACTACGAAAGTACACGGCGTTCCATCTTCCATGTCGCATTCACCTCGCAAATCAATCGACGGTTTCGCGCGATTAAGGGCCTTACGGAAATGTAGTTTCGTCAAATTCAGATCGCATTTAACATTGTTATTTAGTCCGCATTGCACTCACGAAGTCAACCAAAGTTTTTTTCATGTCAAAGAATTGCTTCATGCATTTTGCGGTGGCACTTAGCTAAGCTGGAGAAAATCGTTCATTTGCTTTTTGAGCCTCTGTACCGCGCGATAGTTGAGTACCGTAGCGGTTATCAAAGCGATAAAGTTCTTTTACCTTTTCCTTTGGTAGACAATATTCTCTTGTTTTTCACCATGAAATATAAAGTTGATATTTCGAGCATTCGCACTTAACCACCTTGTTTCTCAGCTCAATAGTACATGCTCATAAAATCACGCATTTAATGAGCTTGCATTCGCCCCTGTCAGACTCCTGCTAGTTGGTAATGTGAAGAAAAAGTAATCCGCTATGCATCAGTTGCTTGGGAGCGGCTAGGTAATGCGACTGCAGGGGCGAACAGTTACGCAGCAACATTGCAGCAATTGTACGTGGTTGCCGTGTCTCCTAACAGATCATGTGTAGTAATTGTTTTTCCTCCATAACGCAGAGGAACAGGCTGATTTGTTGCTCTGTGTGTGCTCAGGACAAGCAGTTCGGCAAGGTAGAGTTGTTCAAGCCCCACCAGAACCCGCCGGCCGTGGTCACGACCTCCATCAAGCCCTACAAGAGCTTCACGCTCGAGAAGGCGTACCGTGGCGAGAGCTTCTTCTGGGGCCTCCTGCCGCAGCAGGGCGACGAGCTCTGCTTCGTCTTCACCGAGCCCGTCCTCATCACGCAGTCAGTTCCATATATTAAATAAGCTGTATTTATTTATCTTCTTTGTAGATATAGAAGCAGAAATATCGTCTCAGTCAGAGACGATTTCTCACGCAATATACCGAATATTCCAGTATGTTTTAAGGGCAATTGAGGTATCAGTATGCTATACGACATTCTTATTTCCAGTTAGAAATGTGTAACGAGCTGCTGGACGTGCATAGTGTGATGCAAAAATACCGTTGGAATTTTCCAATTCTTTTATAAAAGACAGTGCATTGTGTTGAGGCCTTTGCTTCTTTACGACGAAACAGATTTAACAGACATAACAACGGAAGGTTTCTCATGGCACCCTAGATATCAAGACTTGGATTAGAGATAGTGGACACGTAGGGATGTAAGGAATGAGTAATTCTTCATCGAGGACACCTTTACTGCAGCCATCATCCATGCCATGCAGACACCCAAATCACATCCATGCCGTGCAGACACTCACATCTCATCCATGCCGTGCAAGCCTTATCTCCCATTTCTCTCCAGCTATCTATTTCGGAGCGGCAACGTGGAGCATCCGTCTGACAGGTTCTACAAGACCACCGTGGAAGTGCTGCCTGAGAAGTCCCCCGCCCCGGGAGCTGTGCTGTACAAGGCCAGCAACACGTCCGGCTATCTTATCGTCGGTGAGCTTCGACTCTACTGTTCCAACTATTTAGTCTAGCATTAATACAATGTAAACTTGTGTATATAAGTTACCAAGTATTGTTTACGGTTACATTAAACTGTATTCCATGTTATCCGTATGCTAACGCCGTGAGTATTAGAGTTAGAGCATGCCTTTCGTCTGGTGGCAGTTCTCATCCAAAGCGTTCGGAGCTTGTGCTTCATCTGATAGCAGTTCTTTGTTCATTAGTCATTCTTTTTACTTTGTTATTGATCACCTGATTACATTTTGGATACGATTAATTCATGTTTGTTTATCGTAGCCCTGCGAGCGAAGATTCTCAATACAGTTAGTTATACGCGTGATCTCGGAGTTAATGAGTTTTAAAATTTTATGTAATTTCTTATGCATTTTATACATATCGGCTGTGATACGGTACTTTCAGTTGGATTTCCTCCACGTCCTTTACAAATCCATAGGAGTGCTGACCACGCTCTTTTAATTACTTATTTATAAAGTAAACAGCATTCAATTTGTATATATAACGAATCAGAATTATGGTCTGAAAATGAAGTTGAAAAGAGCGCAAGCTTAGCGTCAACAACCTTAATACCTACCTACATGAAACAACTTGTTCCGTTGTTCGTGTTAAGCTCCTGGCCGCATGGCAGTTACTACCGCGCTCGTTGTCGGGATACCCGCTATTGTATCGTTAACCACAAATTGCTTATATACGTGAAGTATGTGTATAAGTAATGTTGGTGATGATATTGATGATGCTGGTGATGATACTGATGACGATACAGGCATGTTCGACGAGCTTGGCGTGGCGGAGGGCAGCGTAGCGGCGGGCGTGGGGCGCGTCAAGGCGGTGGCGCTGCGCGTGCAGGCAGAGAGCGACAACTGGGCCATCATCAGCGAGGTGGGCGACTGCTGCGGCGAACGACATGTCTCTTGCTTGATTGGAACTACTCTTGGAACTTCTCTTTGAACTACGCATAAAATTAATCTTTAAACTACTCTTCAAACTACTATTGAAATTAAGCTTACCTACTCTTTAAGCTACTCTTAAAATTCTCTTCAAAAGTACACTTGGAACTACTCTTTAAACACATAGCATGCCTTGACTTCATATTTGCATCTATTTTTGATTTTAGGTGCACGATTCAGGCAATTTATATTAACATTCACGAACAATCTTTATCGAATAAATTCATCATTATAAATTATGCCTGACATTAGGCAACCGTGTCGCTCTCGGGTGTTCCAAATCCCCAAGGATAATTGTTCTTGTATTTCAGATACATCTGAAGACCACGCCATCGAGGTGACCTCCACTCCTGCTACTTTACCTCGCCTTGTCAACACGACCGCTACTTTACCTCGCCTTGTCAACACGACCGCTACTTTACCTCGCATTCTTGTCAACACGACCGCTACTTTGTTTCGTCTATACAATGACATTAGCATGGAAACAACACAAGTTGCTCCCCTTTTTTATGGCTCGAAGAATTTATACCCAAGATTATAACTTGTTATAAGCAAATGAATCTCTGCAAATCTCTGATAAGAAGTAGGAACTGACAAACATAAATGTTTGTTGAATTGATTCATAAATTGTTGTCCGGCTGACTGTTATCGATCACATGTTGTTTAATAGTTAACGCTTACTCAGCACTTGGGCTCATTGCGTTTCATGTAAAATGATTTTTTCTTGATTCATCAACTGTTTCAACTCGCGTTAGGAGCCTATTATTCGAAATTTAACTATTGCTATAATGTGACAACATATATAGAAGATTACCAAATTATTTATGAATGTAGCACGTTTTCACTTTTTCGGCACTCCACTACAATTGCATTAATAGTTACTTAATTATTTTGATTGTGAGCTATAAGATATAAAGATGCATCAATAGCGGTAGGCTATGACCTCTCAGCGACGACTAGGCGCGCTCTTCGTCAAGAGGGCAAGGCCTGCAGTGTCGGTGTGGTTGTTTTACCGTAGCTCTTGATTGTCGGCGGATGCCTCAGATGGACGAAGAAGAGACGCGTCTAAGGTGCATATCGACGCCGTGCCGAGGTCGGGGAGACGCTCCCTGGCGAGGCTTGGTGGCAGCAATGTTCCGGCAGCGCCTGAGCTGTCAGGGCGCGGTGCAGACCTTGTCTCCTGCCCTCACATGACACAGCGGCTACTGGGCGCTCCGTCACCTTAGATTACGTTCCCTATGGTCGTCTAGAGATAATTTCTGGTATTGAGGACTAGAGATCATCTCTAGTATTGAGGACTAGAGATCATCTCTAGTACGGAGGACTAGAGATCATCTCTAGTATTGAGGACTAGAGATCATCTGTAGGTGCTAGTCTCAACTAGTGCTATTATCTACTGCTTGTCTGAACGCCCCTCACGTTTCATGCCGTCCAGCAGGCCTCTACTGCGTGCGTCACACGCGACGTTCTAATGTCTTGCGCGCATGTTTGGGTCAACAGAAGACGTAAGATTATTGGCGCTGTGGCATTACCAATGGTCAGTATCCTGTTTATTAAGCCAACAGATTAATTCGGCTGGTCTAAGGTACCAACGTCGAACGTCGGAACTCTTATTTATGGTCTGATGAGCCTTGACAGAATGTCTAACTTTATCTTCGATGACATAATTGCATCATCAGGTTTGAATATATGTCTAATTCTTAGCATCTTATCCTGTGGCCAGAGACTTACTATATCACCGGTACTATATTTATTCAGTCTATATTTTTCACTCCTTGAAACGTATTCTAGGCTTGAATTACTCTCCTAATAAGTATTTTTCACGTGCCGTTGTGTGTTAGTCAAATTTCTGCGGCGGTTCACGTACTCTTATTTCAACGAATTGTGTATATTGTGTCATGCTCGTCCGCCTGCCTTTGTTACGAGGTGCGGTGCTGCTGCTGCTGCGATGGCATAGTTGCTATTGTATCTTCCTCTGTGATAACTCGGTATGTGCTTCATGTTCACCACTCACTGCTGATGCCACTCACTCAGCTGACCAAATCAATGTGCATTATTGACACTCATGCCGCAGTTTCGATCAAGCTACATCAACAATAGAGCGCATATATTTGAGATCGATTATCATTTTCTCATTTATTAATATTAATTATAATTACTTGATTAATGTAGGCTACTTGTGTGTGTTTGAGCGCGTGCTGTGGTAGAACGTCTCGTGGCATGAAGTGCCTGCTCGTACTTCCACTACTTAGATTATCATGTTAACTATCATAGGTAATATGTAAGTAAAGAATGTTGTTTGTAATCCCTAAGAAGAATTGCTATTTTATATGAGAATATCTTGTTGTGTTTTTTCGTCGCATAAATTTATTTAATATCGATACATTTTGTTGTTGATCTCTTTGAGGAATTTTCTAAACTTACTGGAGTTTAATCTCTTTACGGTCCTTTTCCCTTCACACTGTAAACACTATGCTGTTCCAGTGAAATAACATATGGGTTAACTTTTATACTTTATGATGTGCGCCATTTTATAATATTAGAGCGTTCAAGATTAGTGGAGCTAAACCAGCCAAATGCACACGGCACAAAGAGCGAAACTGTCAGCGATGTATGAAGGGATGTCGCTTTCTTACGCAACAAATTGCCTGGCCGGCGGGTATAAAAATTTATATCATGTAAATCTCGATCAAATTCTGCCGAACAAAGTGATATTGCTGCTAAAAAAAGTTTATTCATATTGATTAAAAATGTTATTTACTGGATCGGTTTGTCTCGGCTATTTTCTTGGAGGTGCAAATGTTCATGGTTTATTCCAATCAGGACAGGAAAATAAGAATATGTAAGAAGTAGCTGCGTTTGGTTAGGAATGAAGAGACGATTAACCCGTTTCTTGAATTACAGGCACAATAGAGGACCTTTGCCTTGTTACATAACGTTGCCTTAATGTTGCTCTCAGCTGTTGAATGACTCGTGTTATATTTAATAAACTTTTAGTATCCTTCATATAGGTTGCGTTTGCCACCTCTCAACTACTCTGGGCAAACTATAAGCAATTTATATCAATGCAGAGCGAGCAAAACGCTCTCTACACGCTGAACATTTGTCGCTTGATTCTAACTGTTTTGCTGGCATGCTATTTGTATGTTGATGTGTACAACTGTAGTTGCAAAACGATGTCCGGTGTTGTTTTCTAGTGCTGAAGTCTATCCACGCGGGCTAAATATTGGGTCAACTTTATCCAGAGAAAACCATCAGGGAGATCTTCTGACGTTAGCTTGTGCTCATAAGAAGTCTTAGGTAAATACGAGCTCCTATGGGCATTGTTCCTGAGCACCTTACCCCAGAGCACGCGGTGTCCGAGTGCTGCAGGATTCACAAGTTTCTATGTCTCGAGCAGGTGGCCGACGTCTCGTATTAGCGACATCTTGTTCGCGACTCTTCGTATCTCTTGCTGTACTTCTTTTCCTTCTTAGCACTTCGTCTTTTTGAAATGACGAAGCCCAGCTTCTTACTAGCTTCAGCGGGCGGGTCATTCGAGCCCTGCACTCCTCGGAGAAGATATTTATTCTTGACGTTCGGTGCGAGGTTAATAGCTCGAGCGCTGGTCAACCATGTGGCCATTTAACTAACTGATTGTGATCAATTGCTGATATGCTTTACGTGTTTGCCTTCTTGTGAACAAAGTTGTATTTTACTATCAGTGGTTACTTCTGTGATGGTTTTTCATGTGAATAATTTTTGAAGTTTTAATTACTTGTTTGGGCATTTGTTTATGTAATTATTTGACTATCTCATCTTGTTTATGGTATATGAGGCTAGGTTTCATTTGTCTAACATAGAAGTCTCCAAAATGCTCATATTGTAATATTTATCTCTTATTGAGTGGTAACGTCACTCTAAATTCGATATCAGCGAATAATAAAGCTCAAAATCTTCAATGAGTAGCATTTAAGTCTGTTTAAACCTTTAACGCGTATTTATGTCCAAGTCTACGTAATTTTTCCACCACGTGAAAGTTCGGCAATAGAAAAACATTTTCAAAGCGCTCCTGTAACTATTTTTTAGACTGTAAAATGATAAATGTTTGTGTTTGTGAACTTTTCTCAGGATTTTTCTACTTAGAAGTAGGCCGCAGAGGTCAAGGGAGTTCGCTGAGCTGAGTTATTTGCTAAGCCGGCGGCTCTATTATTATGGAGTGCTGCTCGTCCCGCTGTCCGGCTGTGGACGGCGGTGACGACAAGTTTGCAGTCTGGGTGTTGTACATTTATTGACTTATTAAGTGTTGGTATGAATTTTTATCGTATTGTATTTTGTCTCCTAAGTTGAGTGTATATCAGACGTCTGATTCATATGGCCAATCTTTTGTATTAACTGTAAGCAATGTAAAAGAAAGAAAAATGTTCGCAACCGAAACTAACATGCCTTTGACGTAGAAGTGAAATGGTCCTCCCTAGTAACTATCATCTCGCAATGGAATTTTAGCCTCAAGTTTCCTTTTAAGCCGTCGGCTGGGACCAGCAGTGCAGTGTAAAGGTCACCCTTCTTGTCTTAACATCATCTAGGAGAGGCTGCATTGTCTTCTGATGCCATCAACTCGCTTCGTAAAATAATTTCTTTGTCAGAACATTTGTTGTTGGGCTGTTATGAACATTGTTTGATCTATTGTTGTTTGTTTTTAATTATGATGGTCATTTTGACGCTATTTAATTTAGATTCTCTAGAAACGGCGTCAGTCATTAAACAACGACGACCGATGTGCATTTTAAGAATCTTGCAACAATTGTTTTGTAAAAACGTTCCAGTAATTACAGTCTAACATGATGCTCCCATCCTTCTGTGTCGCTTCCATATTTGTATCGCTGGACTCAAACTAGCGCTCTACGAAACATTTAAACTTCACCTTTGCTAAAAATCATGTGAGAAATATGCGTGCTGTGGACCAAATTTATCGGATGAATATTGAGTCTGCATTAGTCGTTTATAATAATACTTTTGCTGACAGTTTCAGCAGGTGATGTCAAGTGCCTCGGGTTCTTCATTGTAAACCATATGTCGGCAGACCTTGTTGCATGATGTTCATTAGGTGTTATCTTATCCCTTAAGTATCCTGATGCTTATGGTGCTCACTATAACAAGGCTACACAATGCAGGAACAGTATGCGAAAAATAAGCGTCGGAATGGCAAGTTTTCTCGGATCAAGCTTTATTTAGTGCCCTCATTAAGCTTAATGCAACCTCGCCGAAGCTCTTGACCGTCACATTAGCGAATTCTTGTAGTTCTTTTCTCACATTATTTCCTAGAAGAATAGCTACGAAGTTCTGCATAAATCTGAGCTTTATGCGAATTACTGCGGAATAAGTGAGAATGCCTCAGTTATGCGCTATAATGGAGCATCCAATCGTGACTTGCGCCTGATTTGAACACGATTCCTGCATATTGTACTCAAATATTCTCGCTGATACTCCCAGTTGCTTCGGTTTTCGGGCAACAACAACCTACGTGTGTCAAAATAGTATGATTTAAGCTCATAGTCTTTCTCACTAAGATGGCCAAGAATCTTGGTTTGTTGCGGAGAGCGCGTGCTGCTGATGAATCCATATCATCTGACTGTCGAACTCGAGTCTTGCCCCGTCAGTGGAGAGAAGAGAAGGGTATATCAATGACTAAGGGTATATTAATGGCTGCAACTGCAATGTGTCCTACCCACTTAGTTTCAATTGCAATGATCTAGGATAATTGCGTTATAAGGCAACTATTTTATGGCGAGTCAAAATTGAATAACACCAACTGATGAACATGATGAACTACGTGGATGCTCTGAGTTTGTGGAAGTGACTTGGAAGATTCTGCCTTTCCTTTGTTTTAATGAATAACCACTTTGCCTCCCACCACTGAACTAGTGTCAGACGCCAGGCATAAATGCGTCTTGGAAATGTTTACTAGCAATGAATGCAATCTTTTTATAGTGAGCTTTTCAGAAATTGCTAATCCGACATTCTAACCGACGAAAAACTATGTGGGTGTCAGTTGGCCAAATCAGAAAGCGACTCCCTGTACGGTTTTGAAGAAAAAATATATTTCTGATGTATTCTTCAAATAATTCCGTTTTGAAATGCTTTTTAACTCCGTCTATCGTGCGCATTTTCAAGTCATCTGAGCTATTATTCCATATCATTTTCACGTCACAGCTTCGTGAGGCGTTTCGTTACTACAAAGGAGCCAGATAGTAACGAGTTGGGTCCCTGGCGATGTCGACAATCGTAAAATATCCATATTATTTTTGGCGTCTGAGTTAGCATTCATGATCATTTGCATGGTTAAGTGTTAATGACTATTGATTGTTCTGCTGCAATTGAGTACACATAAGAGCGTTTTTAGCTTTTGGGGAGTCCTTGGGCAGTGCTGCCTGCTGATATATTTATTTCAATGACCCAATCACCTACCTTGAACTATTCTGCGCACTCCAACATTTTAAGAAGAACACCAGCCCCGGACCAGACGGTATTCATTACAAAATGCTTAAGAAGATGCACCCGACTGCAGTTACGGCCCTCCTGGCCTTATACAATAAAATCTGGACCTTCGGAGCGGACCCTCGCTCCATGAACAGGGAATCTACCGCCCAGCCCCTGCGCCTAAAATGGATCAGGCTATAAGCCTTGAAGACGGAAGAGACCAAACATCTTTGACGTAGCTGAAGACCTCACCTCCGGCGCGAAATAGATAGCTATCTGAAGCGCTAGTAAATCTTTTACTACTACTACTACTACTACAGTAATCCCAACCTTTACTTGCACAAACTTGGCATTGTTGGGCAAGACCAATGCACCTTTCTCTGTCAAGCGTCCTGCTCAGGCTGCTGAAGTGTTGCCTCCCGCGAGCTCGAAGGCAAGTGATGAACTGACGCTGGCCAAGACCACGGCTGTCCAAGGATGATGACCTGACGCTGATCAAGACCAACGATGTCGAGGGATGAAGACTTGACGCTGACCAAGACTGACTGTCGAGAAATGCATGACTGCGCCAACGGAGGATTGGACAGCTGTGCTTCATTTAACATTCATTATCCCCTCCCCCCCTCAGGTGCGCGCTGCTTGAGCGCCTCCATTGACTTCACCGTCACCTCAGCGTCGTACAAATTCCTTCTAAAATGTTTGGTGTGTTCCCACTTTATATTATCAGATATTTATTTTGAATGCAGTAAATTCATTGCATTTCACTCCGTTCCAATGCTCGATCTTCCTTACCAGGTTTCCTCGTGACTTGCTATGGTTTGATGTAGGCGTGAAAAGATATGATTTTGGTGCAAGTTGTTTTTTTCTTGTTGTTTGGTTGTGAGTGTGTTTAATAATTAATCTTTCCGGTTCTTTTGTGCTAGAATATTTTGTATGTATTATTGTCCAGCCTCATGTTTTTTCTCTTCATGTTTGTTTTCAGGTTTATTGCACCAAAAGTTTTCCCACAAAAATCCCGTCTTACTGGACTTGAAATTGACCCGAAATGTATTTACTGTAGTGAGCTGGCAATTGTTTCGTTTTGACCAATTCCGAAGCTCATCTCAACATTTCCAATCTTTTGATACTAATTATGTGCATTGATGAGCGTGATTTGTGCTAAAAATTTATGCCTAAAAACACGTACAAAATATATCCTGCTAGTATAACTGAATTTTTTCAGCTTGACCTAAATTGGCAACGAAATAAACTAAATTGCTTCTAGAGCTGATGTGCCATGCGTGTACGTTTAGTGTTTCTCACTGAGAAATGCTACGTATAATGTTCCTGCAAGTCATTTCTAAAGTGTTGGAAGGATCTGATTATTGTGCAATAAATGTATCTTTTTAACGTATTTTCTTTCTCTGAGCTTCTACAAGCCATCAGTGTACCGCGGCTGGCTCGTGTTGTAGGTATGCAGATGGCGGCGTCTTCACATCTCTGATGCCTAGTTAGGCTATCACTAGTGGCCTGAAGTTCTTAATTTCTGCTAACGAGGGGACCTAACTTTACGAATGACTTATTAGGTTATTGGAAAAATAAATTGGCCTTCGGCCCGTGTTAAGAATGATGATTCTCTAAAGAAAGCATGGGATTGAGGAATCGAAATTTTGCGGAATTTACGGACAGTTGTCCTTTAATTTTGAGTAAGTGAATATTGTGGGTTGGGGTTGAAGAGCCAAAGGTTTAGAGTTAAATGTGTAACTAATAACGATGGTGCCTGACAAGAGATAACTATAGCAAATTATCCTAAGGAGTTGTAAAGCGACAACTCTACTCCTAGCAACAGCAAAACAGTAATAGGCGGCAGCGATCAAGAATACAGCTCCGTGCCGTAAGTCTACAATCGAAAATTTCATGTCGTACGCGTACTGGACGCGACACTTCCCGCTTCTGTTGGCCCAATCGACAACTACCTACGAGCATATTTGGGTACAAGTGGTCAAGGAACATTTATTCTATGAAAAAAAGAAACAAATACGTAACATACTAAACGAACTCGAGCGGCTTCCAGGAGAAGTAATTTTCCAATCGGCCTCTCATAAATACAAAAATTAATTTCAGAGTTCTCGGTGACAATGGTTCTGAGGGTAGCACTTCTAACGAAGTGCTCGTCTTTACGGACTGCACCAGGCCCATGGGTCAATGCGGTCTATTGGTCGTTTTGTCACTGGTGAGAACTGTCATTTTAATACTTTACCATATAACCACCAAGAATAAAATTTCAGATCCAGGTAATATACAGACACAATAAGCATCCTAGATTGAGAGCGTACTACGAGTCAGCGAGACCCAACCAACTTCACACTTCGGTTCATCTTTCTATCCACGATCGAGCAAGCAGCGCCGCCAATGGGGCCATCCATGACTTTGTGTTCAAGGAAGTCGAATAGTACAGCGACTTGTGCACACCAAGCAGCTCGTCAATACGCAAAGAGACCCGAGGCTCAACTTGAAGTTCAAAAGCCTTTTTAGCGCATTTTCTCATTTATGGAAAAAATGCACTATTGTGCTCCCCATATCCGTCTGTCTGTCCGCCCGTGACCACGTTTTCGTCGACGAGAAAATGCGCTCTCTGTCACTCACTGCAGTGAGTACTGAGTTATATTTTTTATAGTTTAGTTTCCAGTTCCCTGGTAGTCTTCCTCGGTGCAGGAAACACATTCAAACTGGTTACCGTAACTCAATTAGTAGCTAACAATGCGATGATGATTTTGTGAAACAACGAAAATATAACTTCGATAGATTTTATATGAATGTTCTCCTTAGTTAAATATCATCGAAATTCCCGACCAACCAGTATAAAAGCTATCATATTAAAAACTGTCATGGATCGAATTCTTAAACTATGAAAACTAAATTGCTCCAACGAAGATCTCCAGATCCGAGCTCTTCCTATAACGTGATTAACATAAATTTCATACTCTAACTGAGACAGCCTGCGTTCCACCGGCATAATTTTCGCAAGAGAAAGAAACGACGGAAAGTTTCCAACAAATCGTAAATATGACGACTGCAGCCAGCGTGATCCTCTCGGGGCTATTTTATATTCGTTGAAAGGGGCCTTTGAGGATCCCGATGATTGATCATTTTGTCTTAAAAATGAAGGAAGCAAGTCCGTCGGCAGGCGTAATAAAAGATGTCTATTAGAAACATAACATTAGAAAAGAATACCAACGTTGATAAAAATGTGTACATATACTAATATAATAACCAATTGAACCGAGGACGAAAGAGCCTTTTATATCTAATAATGTTAGTATAGTTGTAACATGTTGTATCAGAACAAAAACACTCAATAATGAAGGGTTAAATAATAAGATAAATTTTTAACTAAACCTATCGCCAAAGCAAAAACCCGGATAAATATGGCCTTCAAAATTATCTTCCCAACACTGCTCTATATTTGTCGCAAAACAGACAATTCTCTTGGAAGAGAAAGCCTTTCATCTTAGTGGTTCTTGTATAATTATCATGTTGACGTGAGCAATCAAAGTTTCGATTTAATTTTGCCCATGAGGCCTTCCAGCTTCATGGCCTTACCGATGTCGCCCTTGAGCTTCATCTTCCCAGACATAACTGCGGCGGTAGGCTTCATACTTCCTGAGAACAGCTTGCCTGAAAATCAAAAAAGTTACTATAGTGATTCGATGTACAAATTTCCAAGTTCTTTCAAAATATCAACATGTACTTGACCATTAAGTGTAAGCGGTTGCGCTGCTGGTTCAAACAAGAACTATGTATACATACTAACCAAAAATATCGGCGTTGAGCGAGAAAGTAACATCTGCAGGTGATGGAGGGCTGCCTTCTCCGACGCCTCCACTTCCCTCCTTCAAATTAATCCACCAGTGAGTGGCATCTCCGCCAGGGACTGAAACGTGGAAGGCATAAATTGCTTTTGTTTTCTCAACGACCTCGCTAGTAATGATGGATGCGAGGCCATCAAAAGCTTTGGCAATTTCCCGAGTAACAGCTCCTGCTGCCTCTTCAGCCTTGGCGGCCGCTGGTTTTTCCTTGCCCTGGATTACGGACTGCGTTACCACTTCATCAAACTCGTCCAAAAAGAAGTCAGGCATGAGTTCTTCTTTAGGGTCATAAGCATAAGAATCAAAGTTCGTGATTCCTTCTTCTTTCAAGATTACGTCGTCTATGCAAAAATTGCCAGTGAATGTCTTGGAGTCACGAGTCAATAAAGCGTAGCCAGCATCTGCCATGATGTCTGGCTTGCGGCACTTGGCCGCTATGCCCTCACCACCAAGCATCTCCATTGCCGCCGTGTGAATTGCTGCCGGAAGATCACTCAAATTAAATTCGTATTTCTTGAGTTAGATTCAAAATTAATAAAAAAGAATTTTTGCGATAACAAAAACTATCATAGGACTGAGTGAAAACCTACCTTCTGATTCAGAGTTGGTAGTCAAAATTTTTGCTAGTCAAGGAAAGAATAAATTACAAGTCTTTGTTGTTACACTTGAATGGTATAGCTACCTGTTCTTGGCCAGAGAGCATTGACAGCAACGCCCTTGTCCTTGAACTCCTCCGCCATTGCTAAGACGCACATGCTCATGCCGTACTTGGCCATGGTGTACGCCACGTGATCTTTGAACCAGCGTGGGCTCATATTCAGAGGGGGGGAGATGTTCAGGATGTGTGGGTTTTTTCCTTTAATAAGATGTGGGAGACAAGTTTTCGATCTGCAGTAGAGAAAATAAATCATCTTTTGAGAGATGAAACAAAAAACTTTAGGAAGAAAGTTCTCTCCATGACCCATAAGCTTAATTTATTGTAAAATGAAAAAAAAATTAACAAATAATTGGCACTTGAATTATACACTTTACAAGACCGGATGCATTCAACAGAACGAAAGCAGACAGACACTAGATAGGTTCCTCTGGTGTTGATTTGATGCATGAGATCGTATTTCTTCATTGAGGTCTGCAATGTTCCGGTGAGTGAAATTGCACTGGCATTATTGATGAGCACATCAATGCCCCCAAACTGCTGCACGGCTGCTTCCACGCATGCCGTCACTGAAGCTTCATCGCGAACATCCACAACAAATGGCAAGGCTTTGCCCCCAGCGGACTCAACTGCAAATAAAGTTAAATATGAGATATTATATCTTCAATTAATTTACTAATGCAGGACGTAGTAGGAGCTCGTTACTACAAGAATGTTCTAGCTCAGCAAACTAACACTCATAGTTATGCTAACACTCTTTCACCCTCATTTATAAAGTACAAATTGCATCAAATAGGCAAGGATGAGAAGAATTGTATGAAAAGCAATCGGAGGCTGAAAATTTTTAATTAACGCTGCAAAGATTAATTTATGCAGGCATTTCAATTATAGAAAAGCACCTTGAGTCATTGTAAATGCAGCCTAAGACTTTTACATTATTTTGAGCAAACTTTGAAAATCATCTATATCACAGAGTTAAAGATGAAGCACATTAAACATGCCTGCTTTGAATAGTCAAGAGGGCAACAACTAACTTTCCTGAGCCGCTGTGTAGATTGTGCCGGGCAGTTTAGGGTGAGGCTCGGCTGTCTTGGCTGCTACAACAATGTTGGCGCCATCTTTAGCTGCTTTCAAAGCAATAGCTTTGCCAATGCCTCTGCTGGCCCCTGTGATGAGAATTGTGCGTCCTGCAAGCTTTCTGCAAGTAAAATAAAATGAAGAACGCCTGAGGGACCTGAATTGTTTGTAGATTGGGCTTGTACAGCCTCACAATTTCTGGAACTCCTTTGCATTACAAAAGACTGTACAAGATAATAGATGTATTAGTGAGTGGGTATATCTTTCAAGGACAAGACTGCTCCAAAAAATATGTAAAAAAGGATCAATTATACTCGCTAGTAAAAGTATACCATTTGTTCAAACCTTACCACATTTGTACAAGTTTTACTATATGATGTACCTAGATATCACTTAAACCTTGTAAGATACAACACAGAAAATGTCTTTAATTATGTCAGGGTACCTGAGCCAGCTCATCTCATGAGTATTCATTGTACAAGAAAATTATTATTAGAATTCCCTTATTAATGTAGTTCAATTATTTCAAGAGTTCTATTATTGTTAGAATTAAATTATTTTCAGAATTTTTTAATTATTAGAGTTCTAATATTGTTAAGAGTTCACTTAAGACAAAGCATACCCTGTGTTGGCAAGCATTTTTCGTTCACTGGTTTGTTCTGCCTTGATGATGGAAAGAACACCAGAAGAGAGAAATAATTCTGGAAAGTTTTTCTTTGCACAAGGTTACTGTGATTCAGAGTCTCAGAAGGAATTGACTTTTACACTTTATTTACTGCAGTCCACTGCACTTTTTGGATTACACTGAGTTTAAACATAAAATGAAGACCTGAAAACATGAAACAGTTATGCATGAAAATATAATTAGGGATCAGTAGCTTTTCATCTTTTTAATTGATTTTATACAAAATTAAATGTTCAATTTTCTCAGCTGTGAAAAAAATTGGATAGCATGAATCTAATACAACAATTTAGCCATGCAGTCACCTATGCCTACATGAATCCAATTCAAGGTGACTGCTTGGATTCATTGGGAGGTGTTGTGTTATGAACTTTCATAACAGAGTACAACCAATGCTGAATTTTTCATCAATAATTATTCCATTCTATGCCTGCATGAATTTCATCATTAATCATATCATTTCATACCTGTATGGATTTAATAATTTTTCTCAAAAACTCACATCACTCTTTATTTAATATTGAAAATATCAGACAGAATTGTCTAGAAACTGCAGGAAAAAAAAACGTTGCTTTATGGGTGCTGGTGAAAATGCAACATTTTACACCATTTTTGCACAGGAAACAGGAAATTGGGATTTGACCCACAGCACAGTTTAGCTCATAAAATGGCTGGCAATGATAGGAGCATATTATTAGTTATTAATGAATAACATTTTCATGAGAAGAATGTGCAGATGCAAATATTGTATGAAACAATTCACAAACATAAAGGAAAATTATACTTCATCCCAAGTTAGTTCCTAGTGCTAGTCCTAAAAGGAAGCCATATACTGCCCCATATGAGTCATATAAATAGGCTAGTAGGCTACTGAGGAGCCAACCAGTGATAGCTGCCAAGTAGAAAAAATAGAACTCATGTGGGCTTTAATTTGAAATATTGAAAGTTAGAAACTAATTTGCACATAAATCAGTTATCTTAATATGCAGTCAAAGTACCTGAGATTGCTAATGTGAAATTAAATACTGGCTCCATAATTAATGCAAAAAATTACTCAGCTTGTGTCACACATACCATTTATGGTAAATGCTCAATGAAGAAGTAAATATGTGAATGGTGTTAATATATCAGAGGTATAGTTGTGAGTAGTTCAAATTTTAGATCTGTTGACTCAAGAAAGAATGACACCGGTCCACCTGTCATTCATAATACCTACCTACCAAATTCACGCTTGCCGGCCAGTAAGAAAATATTCGATTAATTTTTTTTTATAGTTGGGGTTAAGACTTGTGGCGACAAATGCGCCCACCAGCCTGTTCTCTGTCAGAAAGAGAAAGCAAAGCAGCAGACTCGAAGCTCTGCTAAACTAGGATGCTGCCTCCAACACACTATGGACCAATGCAGTCCACACTTGCTGAGCCTCACAGCCAAAAGCTGCTTGTGCCCAGAGATGATCCTGTTGCAAGGTAGATATTCTGGCAAGTTACAAGTTTTTTATATATTTACATGCATAAATCACTCTCCGTCATAGTAGATTCACCATGCCAGTCTGCAATAAAAATTGTGATAGATAAGAAAATACTAAATGGCGTTGTGCTGCAGGGATCTCAGCTCCTAAGGCTGTGTTCAGGTTCCAAGGGACACCAATGTTAGCCAATGCGGAAGTAAAGGCTGCTCTAGGACCTGCAAATCTAACACAATCAAGCATGAAATGCGAGATGGTGTCCTCCTTGTGACAAACAGAGCAGGTTGAGTCCTGTGCCATCCCAAAGCGCGCCCGGTGTGCACCAACGCCCGCATGTCCAAGGCGCAGACGGGCCACTGCACACTGCATTCTCCGACTGAGGCAGCTGTAGTCAATGTGATCAATAGAGTTTTCAAGTGTTAGTCGAAAATGGCCACTGCCAGTCTCTGCAACCTTTCTGCTCCAGTGTTCCTTCCATTGGGCGAGGAATGATTGTTTCAATTGGCACATTAACTCCTCAAAGCACAAGACAGAACGAGAAGATCTGTCAGTGCTATGAGAGAGGTTAGCAACCCTGTCAGCAATCTCATTGCTTCTCACTCCACTGTGGCTCTTCACCCAGCAGAGGGAGACTGAAGTTAGACCTTTCTGTAAAAGCAGCATGTGAATTCTAAAGACTATTGAAGCATAAGTGGGGCGACAAGTGTTCCTGATAAAGTACAAGGAGGATTTTGAGTCTGTAAATATAACCACTGGACGGCTTTGAAGATCTCCACGACTTAGGACTAATTCCAGTGCCTTGTAGATGGCAAACAACTCTGCACCCATTATTGTGTGGGTTGGTGACAGTAGCCACCCTGTAGCCAGTGACAGTGAGGGAACATATACACCAGCTGAAACTGAGCCCTCAGCTGAGCGTGAACCATGTCACCCCCAGGCAAGCCAACTTGTATAGGAGGCCTTGGTGCCACACCCTGTCAAATGCTCCCTGAAGGTCAAGGTACACCACAATACAGTACTCTTGTTGCTTCATGGACCTTACTATTTCATTCTTCAAAAGGTGTAAAGCATTGATTGTGCTGCGTCCTCGTCGGAAACCAAATTGCAGTTGAGGGAGAAGAAGATTGCTCTCCAAGAAGTGCTCAAGGCGGCGTAGCACCAGGCGTTCCATCAATTTCCCAAGGCATGGGAGAAGGGTAATAGGCCTGTAGCTCGTCACTACTGTCGGATCTTTGTCTGGCTTCAAGATGGGGCAGGTAATGCCCTGCTTCCATGTTTCTGGGACTGTCCCTGTGCACCAGTAGACATTAAACAGGGAGAATATTTCAATTTTGACAGTAGGTGGCAGCTTCTCAAGGAAGATGTTCATCACTCCATCATGACCTGGGGCAGTATTTTTGAGGTCCTGAAAAGCCAGGTCAAGCTCTTCCAAAATAAAAGGTTCAGAATTAAAAGTTCTCAGCTGCGATGGGCAAGTAACCACAGCCATTACATTCCCCGGAAAAGGCTTTGGATTGGAGAGGGGAGCCCAGTGCCGGCTAAATGCGGTGGCTTTTGAAAGGTCATCTGAGTTTGCTAAATTTTGCAGGGGTGGTGAGGGTACAAAAGGTAACGCTTTGCCTTTAATACTTCGGATTTTGCTCCAAGTAGTCTTGGTGGTTATGGTAGCTGACATTGAGCCAACAAATTCTTCCCAACTTGATTTCTGCTTCTGGAGTTTAATCCAGCATGCCTTGGCCTCTAGACGCTTATAATCTATCAAGTTTTCAGGTGCTGGGGAACGCAACAGTTTTGTTTTGGCTTTTCTACGTAGAGAAACTGCCCCCGAGCACTCTTCATCCCACCATGGGGTTGAGAAGTGATAATGACGCTTACCAGAGGACTGTGTAATGGCTGTCAAGGCAACTGCTGTGATGTTTCTTGTTATACGGGAGCACATTTCCTCTGCTGCTTCAGGTCCTGGGAACGACTGCTCTGACTCATATAAAATCCTGCGATAACTGGCCCAATCTGCAGAATAAAGCTTCCAACGAGTTGGTATATCCTCTGAGGCTCGGTCAACTTCTACTCCAACAGTAATGCGAACAGGGAAATGGTCACTTTCCATGTCTGTACCTCTGCTTAGAAAATAGCGGATATAGAGATCAGGTGACAGTATGAATAGATCCAAACAAGAAGTTGTGCCAGTTCTGTTATCAATGTATGTTGGGAATGAACCATCATTTGCTATGCACATATTCAAGTCATCCACAGCTCCCTCCAAAGACTGGCCAGCTTGATTTTGTCGTCCACGAGCATCCCAGGTCAAAGAGTGAGCATTGAAGTCTCCTGTAATTATGCATGGAAAGGCAAATTGCAAAAATGCAGATCTGAATTCCAGCTGTGAAATATTAGCACCTGGATTGTAAAAGTTGCCAATGTTGAGCATGCCAAGAGATAAGCAGACCTGCACACCCTGAAATTCAAGGCTCCCAGCACGAATACCAGTCACTGAGAGAGGGCTGGACATTATGTCACTGCGCACCAAAACAGCCAAGCCCCCCTGTGCTGCTCCAATTTGGTGACTCCAGTAACAGTGGTAGCCCACAAATCGGGGTTCTCTGGTTTTAAGCCAAGTCTCGCATTAACAGACAACATCTGGCTTCTGGGTATAAATGAAGAGCTTAAATTCTGTAAGTTTGCTTTGAAGTCCATGGCAATTAAATTGAATGATGGTTAGGTTCTGCTCTGATGTTTGCCACCACGATCGGCAGGAGTAGAGGACTGATTTTTTACCCTCTTTGCTGCCTCTGCATAAGTTAAACCTGTGGCTCTCAGCTTTTCTACAGCCCTGACATTTTCTACAGCCCTGGGGCAGTCTCGAGCACTTGCTGTATGGGGTCCACCGCAGTTTGCACAGCGGCGTGTGGTGCCTGCGCTTTCTGGGCATTCAGTCCTGTCACGTGGGCTGGCACAAAGGAGGCATCTCTTAGCTTCAGTACAACCTGAGGCAATATGTCCAAAGCCCTGACATCGAAAACATCTCATAGTATAGGGTACAAAAGGTCTAACAGGAAACCGCAAAAAATCTACATAAACTGCTTCTGGGTTTTTCTGCCCAGCAATTACCACTTTTACAGCAGCTGATTCCTCTCTTACACCCTGTTGTACACGAGGAAGCCTTATCATTTGCAGAATTTTGATGGATCCTGATTTTGCTGAGTTTAGCAGCTCTGATACATCTACAGATTGATAAACAGGACCAATGACTCCACTTACTGTGATGTGACTCAGGTTGGTAGCACTTCACTGGCCATTTTCCTATTTTGGACACTTGCAATAGTTGGTTCGTGTCAGCTGGGGAAATAGCATCAAACTCGATAGCTGCTAGGTTTCTTCTAGGGTTGGTGCACACCTTGAAGTTTGAAAATTTGCCATAAGCTGAATCTCTAATACCTTGAGCAAGGTTCACAGGATTTTGTAGAAAAGTTGCTGAGTTTGAGCCGATTGGTTTAATAACAATAGTGCAACCTCTTCCCTGACTCATGAGCGTGGCATTCATTGCAATTGCCTGAGTGACGCGTTTATGACGTCTTGCCCCAACAAATTCCACACTTGCACTATGGTGATGACCTGCAGTCTCATCAAAAGATTGCTCACTGCCAGTAACCGTATTAATCACGTCTGCTGTCACTGTCATCCCACTTTCTTTGGG